CTTGAAGACGGTCCGGATACTTCAATTGGTGCAGAATAGAGCTGCCAGGCTGCTGACGGGGACTGGGCATTGTTCTCATATAACCCCAGTTCTCCGTCAGCTCCACTGGCTCCCGATTGAAGTCCGGGCCCAATTCAAGGTGTTGGTTATGACCTATAAAGCCCTCAACGGCTCGGGCCCTGGGTATCTAAAGGAGCGCTTGCGTCCATATATGCCCTCCTGCCCCTTGAGATCAGCAACAGATGCCCTTCTCCGGGAACCCTCTGTGAATGATATTAGGAGGGTGAGTACCCGGAGGAGGGCCTTCTCTGCGGTGGCGCCCCACCTATGGAATGCGCTCCCCAGAGGGGTCCGCCTGGCACCGTCGTTATTTGTTTTTCGGTGCCAGGCTAAGACCCTTTTATTTAAAACTTAAGTGTTAATTTATTGGTTATTTGTAGGATTTTAAATTAAGCCGAGATGCACCGGGTTTTAATATTTTTATTGTATAATTTTGTTCTTGCTGTGAGCCACCCCGAGGCTTTGTTGCGATGGGGGCGGCATAAAAATGTTTTAAATAAATAAATAAAATTGAATAAAGATTATTTTAATTTCTTTGCTACATGTGTCAGGTGCTGACATCCGTGCTTGAGAAGTCTCCAGGTTGTAGACTTTTAAGCTAGAGCAGGAAAGACAAAAGTTGAGGGAAGCCTGGGGAGGGGCCATCACAGGTTAGATTTTGACCCTGTCCACTTCATCAAGTGCAAAATTTCCTGTTTTCAAATCCCCTTCCCCCTTTGGGTTATGAGAAAGGAAATTAAATCTGAGAAATAATGGATGCTTGGGTTCCTCACTACAGCTGCAACTGTTCACACACTTCCTTGGGAGTAAGCCCACTGGGCCCTCTGAGGAAACATGGATGAGATCAACCTGCAGTGCTCCATGTCCTACATTTCACAGATGAAAAAAGAGCAGCACCTCAGTCTTGCATTCCAAAGACCATTTAGTGGGCCCTTCCTGCATTATGCATGTTTTACATCTCTTCAGGCCCTTGGTCAGCTTCTTTTAATCCACAGAATTCTCTTATTTAAGTCAAACATTTAAGTCAAACCAGTGTGTGTGCTTTTAATCAAAGACACATTAGACCAATGTAACTTTTCTCAAATTGGGAGATCTCTCCAAGATAAAACTCACAGCTGCAGTTTGCAACATAGCAGGTGTTTATACTTTGTAGGTATACATCGTTCTTTCAGCCACTGGTCTGAGTTTTTGGCCATGCAGCAGTCTGGCTCTTCTCTTTCCCAACCTTAGCTCAGCGCATTGCACCACACTAGCTCTTGTGCAAAGTGCTGATTCCAGGTTTGGTTTTTTGTTTTGGTTTGAGGAGCGGATCTATTATTATTATTATTATTATTATTATTATTATTATTATTATTATTATTACATTTCTATGCCGCCCCTTGCCAAAGCCTCGGGGCGGCTTACAACACAATAAAATACATTGAAATACAATAGAACATAATAATGGATCTGGCTTAGAAAGTGCAAGATAAGGCAGCCTCTTTTCCATAAATGCAACAACTACCTTAAACACTGCCACTTACCTCTTGTTACGTGTTTCTCCCTCTGGACCCGATCCACATCACCCTCCAGTAGGAAAGGATGAGGCACACACAGGTTACTGGTCTGTCTTCTTTGCTCCTCACTGCCCACTTGGTCAGGTGAACTGGCAAGAGGGAGGAGGAGCAGAAATGGGAAGCTCCAGAGACTGGGTGTCGGTTGCAGCTGTGTGCTATTATGTCTGTCTTAGGGCGACTATGAGTGACGCCCTTCAACATGCCCTGTCCTTGCCGGCCCTGCTCAACTCCGGTTTCTCAAGCCTGATCTCGTGTCTGCAAGAATTCCAGCGTTCATTTTTCTCTCACACAGGCTAGCCCAGGATACCAGCGCCTTCTTCCTGAATTCGTCTCCCCAGCATGGCCCATGGCCAAAAAGCCGATTTTGGCCTGGGGTTTAGGGTTATGACACTAATATTGATACATGCATGCATTGCAACACCTTGAGCATCACTTTGCTCACCTGGGAAATCACTGCAACGATTCTATAGTTGCTACACCCCTTTGCCGTTGCTATGCGCTGTCAAGCCGCCCTCAACTTATGAATAGACACCCTCCAAAGTCCTTGACAGCTCTGCTCAGCTCATGCATGCCCAAGGCTGAGGCTTCCTTTATGGAACTGATCCATCTCATGTTTGGTCTTCCTCACCTTCTTCTTCAGCAACTGCACTCCTTGGGGACTGGAATGTATATCAAATGTTTCCAGTCTTGTTTCGTTTTCCTATTTGTTGCCATATTCTTGCTAGGATTTGGGCTGATTTAGTCTCTACAGCCTGGAATAGATCTACTGGTACCCTATTTACTCCAGGTGCTTTATTACTTCCAAGTACAGCTTTCAGGACAGCTTTCACCTCAGTTTCTGAGAGGATTCTTTGAAGGAATCTATCATTTTTACCTCTACTGTATAGTTCTTCCATATATTGTTTCCACCTTCACTTTAATTTCTTGGATCTTCAGGAAAGGGTCTTTTGTTTTTCCTCTTTTGTTGTTATCTTCTTTTCCTTTGCACTGGCCATTCTAATAATTCTTTTTCTATCTAGGTGGAGGTTTAGCTAAGAAAAGGGGTAAGGGGAAACATAAGAGATTTGCAAGGTTATACATAATGTGGCAAAAGAGGATTAAGGCGAGATTTTACTCCTCATAAAATTAGAATCCTTTTTTTTAGAGGGGGTCATTCTGTGAAGCTAATTGGCGGGAGATTCAGGTCAGATAAAAGGAAGTGTATCTTCACACTACTTAAAAATGAAATTCACTTCCACAAAATGATTGCACAAAAAAGATGGCTTTCATCTTGCTGGCTTTAAAAGGGACAGATAAAATTCATGGTAAAGGAAGTATCAGTGGCTGCTAATCCCGATGGTTCTATGCTACCAGTACCAGAGCAACACCAGTTGCTGGGGAACATGGGTGGGTGGGTGGGTGCTGTTGCTCTCCTGTCCTGCTTGTGGGATACTGTAGGCAGCTGGTCAGCTAGTGTTCGGACTAGATGGACCCTCGCTCTGATCCAGCGAGGGCCCTAACTCGATGCCCGGGCAGGTGCTTGATTATACCATCCCTCTTCACACCCACGTACAAGAGGCAACGATGCACCCACCTCTCTAAATTTTCCCTGCATTGCTAAAGATGTACCCAGAAGGAAGCTTCACTGAATTCAGTGGGGAGGAGGTCACGGTGAGGGGGTTACTGCAGAACTTACAAACCGCAGGAAATCATCTAGCAACTCATACGAATACTTTTGCACCATGAGCTTCTTAAATCGACTTAAGGCGTGGCCCCCAGACATAAAGATTGCGTGTGTCTGAGCATGGACAGAATTCCTACAGACTAATCACGGCCAGGCCACAATGATCCTGGAAAGGGGACGGCGGCGGCGGCGGCGGCGACTGCCAAGGAAATACCCGCACAGCAGCGCCACGCACCCAAATACAGCACGCCGCCCTCTCGCTTCGGAACGCCGAGTTGCCTTCGGCGGGCGATGCCCATTGGCCGAGCGAAAGGAAGGGTCCCGTTACCCCGGGACGTCACCAAAGCCGCCGGTCCTCGCCTAGTGCTGTGCGGGGGGCGTGGCTGCGAGGGGCAGTTCCTGGTTCTGATTGGGTGGCACCTGGAAGTGTTGCAAGTGGCTAGCAGAAAGGTGAGTCTGGAGGCAAGCGGGGGGGGGTGCGAGTACTATGGAGGCCTGGAGAAAAGAGGGGGGATCCTGGGGGGCTCGCCGGATCGAGAATCCTAGGCTGCGACCCCCTATCTCATGACCCGCATTGAACGCAGGGGGGCACACTTCTGAGCGTGCGTGCATCAGCTTGCCCTGTTCAAGTGTGAAGCTGTTCGGAGACGCCATTGTGTCTTCGAAACGCTCGTGTGAACTGCAGTTGGCGATTGAGGGGGGGGGTCCCTGGCCAATCCGCAGCTCATGCTTGTGTGGACGGCCAGAACGGTCAGTCAGTTCATGCTTCCTGTTCTTCCTACGGCTGTCTGAAATCCTATACACATATAGCTGGGAGCATGACCTGCAGCATTCAGTGCAAATGTATGTGTTTATTTTTATTCTGCTCTTTATGAATAAACAAAGAGATTGGTGGGGGGAAGCTTCCAGAGCGACTTACATATCAACAAAAAGCAATCCAGCCCCTGCCCTCAGACCTTCTACTGCCTAAAAGGGCATAACACAAAAAGAAAATAGGATTGGAAGGAAAGAGCGCTAAAACCCGAAACTGGCTTTAGCTCTTCCTTACAACAGTCGTGTTCACTGGCTGAAATGGAAAATAGTTCAAGGAGAAAAGGCCCAAAGGTTGCTAGTCTCTGGGCTGAGCAGACACAGTGGCCCTGCTACCTGTTTCTCAATTCCCCTCAGTAAGGTTTATTTCTCAGTAAAGTTACATAAGATCGGGCTTTGGTCTCTTGTTCACAAATCTCACTTTTAAAATCTTCCTGGCTCTCTTTCTATGGTAAACTATTCCAGAGTATGTTTTAAAACACACTGGGAATATTCCCCCCATCACGCATTGTCATGCTGTGTGCAGAACTGTTTCTATTTTACCAGTATATTTGAAAGTGTTTTCTGTCACCCTTTAATTTAAAAAGAACATTGCAGAGCAGTCTGTAACCTGCTGGAGGATAAAGCAACAATAACCGTGGCACCTATGCATACCCCAACACACTCAGCCAAGGGCATGTGTAGGGTATTCATCCTTTCCCCCAGGCTTATTATTCCAGGCCCCTAATGGGAGAAAGTGCAATATCCTTCCCCAGCATCCCCCTCTCCTGCTCAAGGTTTTTTGGCTAAACTCGGGAAGGCAACCCATCTTGGTGTTGCAGAGCATTCTGGGAAGGGAAAAGATCTTCATTCTGTTCAGAAAGCCATGCTGGAAGGAAAGTCTGTGGCAGGACAGAGGTTCGCTGCCACAAGCTTTGAACCTTTGAATTGCATTGCATTCAGCAACTGCTTGCAAGAAGCAGAGAAAGGAGGTCCGGTTGACTTTTCCCTTGGGCCAGCCGTCCTTCACAGAAAAAGTTTCGCTCCTTTCCCCAGAAGCCAGGTTGAGTTACCCCTTTTCTTTACCAGCAGGGGGCACCATCCTCCATTTGTTTAGGTGCAGCAGGGCTTCAGCATATAAACTGTAGCCCTGGGATTTCGCACATTAGCTAATCGATGAAGCGATTTGGCTGCCCTTCTTCAGTGGCCTACTTTTTCTCAGCCTTACACCGCACCCCCAGGAAGATTTAAAAAAGGCCATCAGCACTTTAAAAATGAAACAATGTAGAACAAGCTGTACATTAAGCAAACTGCCCAGTGATCAGGTTTCTATCTTAAAATCCTGTGTATTGGTTTTTTCTCTCTGGAGGAGGGAGACCAGGTGGAAACATGGGCTTCTGTATGTGTAGTGGACAAATTTTTGATGGGTGAGCCTTTTACATGGGTGTGGAAGAGTCTCTGCCAAAATTCCCGTTTCCACACAATTGCTCAAATATTTGGGAAAGGGACTTCCTACTATGCAGCTAATTACACACTCAGAAGGACAGAAAACCTGCATAATTTACTCCGAAACGGTGTTGCCATGGACGGGGGGGGGGGGGGGGCTTCCTGGGGCCCCACTCAGCAAAATGAACAAAAGAGCCTTGGTAATGTACACTGAAAACTAAAGGGCTGGCATGGATCATAAGGTCACTATGTCCAGAGCCCAAAGATTGTACCTTGAAGGGATCACCCAAGCAGCTAGAGGGCTCCTATATAAATCTTCCCTCCACAGCTTCCTCAAAATCCCATTGTGGTATTTTAGGGCTTATTGGGCAAAAGCCTCCAAAGTGTATCTGAATGAGACCTTTTCTGTCATTGGCATTCCCTCTATGTGTAATGTTCTAGTGGGAAGTGTCCTTGCTCATGTAGCCAGCAAGCTACAACCCACACCCAAAGGCAAAGTATCCATACACTTTGGGAAATGCTATGGGTTGCAGAATTACAAGAAATTTGGAGGGGGACACTGGGGGTGGAACACCAAGGAAGGGCGAGGAGCCTGTAATCAGCCCCCCTGTAATCAGCTTGCTCTGTAGCCACCGACTGATTGCTGGGATGGTTAGTATGGAAAACTGGGTAGGAACGGAATAGAGTATCCGGGAAGAGATCATGGCTGGCTGGAGCAGCAGCATTCTCTGCTGCAACGTTTTGTTTCCTTCTACATTTCATCATTGCATGAGCATTTCACAAATACATGCAGATAGAAACACATTTTCTTGTTTGATCCATAGAGTAAGTTCCAGATTTTGTCAGAGTAGGTGCATTGAAATAAATGAGAATTAATCATTGCTTTTTTCCATGTATTTTTAATTGTGAATTTCACCAAAATACAAAATCTAAATTAAAAAGACACATAAATTAATAATAATTTATTTATTTTTCAATTTATATCCTGCCTTTTTCCTACAAAGGGCTCAAGGCAGCTTATATCATTCTCCTCCTCTATGTTATCCCCACAACAATGACCCTGTGAGGTACGTTGGGCTGAGAGTTTGTGACTGGCCCAAAGTCACCCAGTAATTTGCATTTATGTAAATATTAATGTACAGCATGTCCAGATGTATCAATTATACATAAAATCAGGCCAAGTTTCCATATCTATGCTCTTTCAAGAGTCACATCTATATGTCATCTGCTCAGTTTTTGAAAACATTGCTGAGTCTTCAGTCCATTCCATTATAGGAAGTGAGTATTTATTTTTGTAATGTTGAAGTTATCAGCCTTCTAGCTATCAAAACGGAATGGCAAATCCATTTGTATTAACATGCTTTAAATTCCAAGAAACAGGTAGTTACTTTAAAAGATTATACCGGTCATTGACTTTAATGTACCTACTCTTAAGTATTTGGTGCTGACCCTCTGTCTACATGGGTCTGGAGGTGGTGGCAGCAGAGAGATGGGCTGGGGAAGGTTAAACCTATACCTTCTTGAAAGGGTATCAGAAGTAAAATCTAAACATTTTACAGGCATCAAATAAGAAAAGTGTACCTTAATTTGAAAAAAGAAGGAAGCTTCCAAGGTATTTCTTTTTATTGTCTCTGTGCAGCTCTAGCCTCGAAATGTCGGTGGCACGGCTTGGGAAGGTAGTTCCCAAAACAAGCATCCTTTTTCTGTGTGATATGCAAGAGAAATTCCGGCCCAACATCAGCTACTTTCCCCAGATTGTGTCTGTGGCAGCTCGGATGCTGAAGGTAAAACGAGCAGGATGATGCAATGCCTCGAGAAATGGGCGAGAGAGACTGAAAGGCAGTTCTTCAATTACGTGGCATTTATCGGCTAACACTGAGTGAAAGGGAGGGGCAGTCCTTCAGGTCTATTGGACTACACTGCCCTTCATCCCTTGAGTGATGCCATGTTGGGGGAGGCTATGGTCCAGTAGATGCTTATAAGAGCTGCACCTTCATCTCAACATAGCGGTGGAAGTTGTGCCGAGAGTTGGTTGTGGTGCTTAGCACATCCTTTGAGCTTTTGCTACACAAACCTGCAGAACCACTTTGAGCGGATGGGATGGTGAGGTAGAAAAAATGTACTGTAACTACTGTACAGTAGTTAAAATTATTTTTGAACCACCGTTATAAATAGACTTCTGAGACAGTGCAGTAGGTAAAAACAGAAAATAAGTAATAATAACATTCAATAAAAGCAGTGCTTGTCAATAGAACCAGCAGCCCAGTTGTTTTTTTAAAGGTCAGAGAAAATGGATTGTTCTTCAGAGCTTTCCTCAAACCCTGCTGAGAAGGGACCTGACAAGCCCTGCTGGAAACTTGCTCCAGACGAGTGGGGACACAACCAAAGAGACCCTCTCCTTGTCTCACCAACTTAACCACCCTTGCTGGTAGGCAAGAGAGAAGGACTTCCTTTCATGATTTCAGGATGTGGGGTGGCTGGTACAGAAGAGGCAGTCCTGCAACCAACTTACATTTTATGGCCTCCATAACTAGAATACAAGCTATGACGTCTGCAGCAAAGCAAACTTGCAGTTACACTGGTGAGCACTTGGGGTCAGCATAATGTCAACTTTCCTTTCATGGGAAGGCTCCCTTCCTTTCCAAACAATCTGCTTCTTTTAGCACCACCAAGGCACTTTCTCACCCTCCTGCAGGTTGCCAAAACCCTTCAGATACGCACAGTGGTGACTGAACAATACCCCCAAGGCCTGGGTCCAACGGTGCCAGAGCTGGGTGCAGATGAGCTCCCCAAATACCCCAAGACTTGCTTCAGCATGATCATCCCAGAGGTGGAGAGGGAGATGGCAGCTGTTCCCAACCTGAAATCGGTGCTTCTGTGTGGGATTGAGACACAGGCCTGCATCATGGTAAGGAGTGGAGGGCATGACTCTCATTACTCGCATCAGGTAGGTTGGCAGGGAGCAAGACCTGATGTCAGGTGCGATTCACCAGCACTTAGCTTAAGGCAGGCAAACCCAGAACCAACAGAAGACAGTACATTTATCATCCAGTTTGTTTTTCTTCCTTCAAGACTCAATCTAGACCAGGGTTCTCTTACAGAATTGTAAAATGAGCGTAGTAAAACCAGGAAGACGGTGTTGATACCTTCCCCGCCCACACACTTATTTCTAAATTCTTACACTGGAATTGCTCAATAGTTTTAAGTTCTTGGGAAGCCAGAAGACAAAGTGAGGGAGGAAATGAAGGACATTGCACTTTTCCTGCTCTCAGTACCGGGGGGAATGCACACCACTTGCAAGAATGCCAAACTCTGTAGAGGCATGAACACCGCTCTGGAGTCACAGCAGACATATGTCAATTAAAGGCGCGACCTGCGGGCTGGATTATGCATGAGCAGCCACTTCCCGTGAGGAATGGGTTACAGCAGGGGTCTCAAACTCAACTGACCTGGGGGCCGCTGGAAGTAGAGTCTGGGTGAGGCTGGGCCGCATCAAGTCTTCCACCACTGCGGTGGTGGGGGGCCGGCCAGTCCGGGCGCCACCGGCGCTTTGAAGGCCGCAGGGCCCTTCCCCCATGCCCCACCCGTCCTGGCACTTGGCCCGCGGGCTGCGAGTTTGAGACCCCTGGGTTACAGAGTGGTGGGGACGAGGCTCAGCACGGCCCAGCCGACCTGAACACCGCGCATTTTCTCTCTGGGTGCAGAGCACAGCCCTGGACGTCATGGAGCGAGGCCTGGAAGTTCACGTGGTGGTGGATGCCTGCTCTTCCCGCAGGTGATCAGCAGGGCTGGGGGAGGGAAGGGGCTCGGTATTGCCGTGGGGAAGGGCAGAGTGCAAGACACCCTCTGTTTCTTCTGCCTCGGATACTTCGTAGACATGTTTGTGAGTGTGTCTTGCCGCCTTTTCTCAGCCAGGTGGACAGGATTGTAGCGCTGTCCAGGTTACGCCAGAGTGGCGCCTTCCTCACCACCAGCGAGGGGCTCATCCTGCAGCTTGTCCGGGACGCTGCCCACCCCCATTTCCGAGAGGTAATTTGCTGGCCTGCCTTGTAGACCTGCCCCTGCCCCCAGCCCGCGCTTCTGCCACCACCCAGGCTGCGTCAGGGCCGATCACTCCTTGCGGGGCACTGGGCGCTGCAGCTCTTCTTGCCTCTTGCGAGCTGTTCCTCACCCGGTGCCTCGGGTTTGTGGCTGCAGCCTCCTCCAGCCTGGAAGGCAACAAGCTGGGGAAGTCCGGTTTAGCGGCTGCAGTGGTTACAGGGACACTTGTAATCAAAAGCCCTTCATTTTATTGCTTTCAATTTAATCCCAGGATAGCTTTGGTATTGCTTATGATTATTATGGATTTCATTTCTCTGCTGCCCAGCAGCCAAAAGGTTCTGGGCAGTTCATAACAATTTGTAAAATTACAAGAGCAGAATTGCTGATAATAAAATAACAGCATGATATTTCCATATAGAAAATTCTAAAAACGTGTCAACAAAAATATCGGACCTGTTAAAAAGGCAGCTGACAATTATCCCCATCACACACTGTTAAGAGAACATTCAGTGCCTGGAAGTACAGGGTGGTTTCAACCCGGTGCCAAAAGCATCACAGCATTTGTGCCAGGCAGGCTTCAGTACGGAGATCGTCCCACAATCACCACAAAGAAGGCCATCTTTCCTGTTGCCACACTCCTTCCTTTGCTTTCCTTGGAGGTGGCACTGAGAGAATGGCCCCAGATGTTACTGGTGCAGTTTTATCCTCCCCTTCTTCTACGGCAGGGCTAGGCCTCTGGGCAGGTTACTTGCCCTTGCCACTAGCCAGGTCCACCCTATTATGGCTACACCTACGCTATTTTCTTAAATTTCCAAATTATACATCAGCTCAAAAGGTTGCCTCCCCTGCCTTTGGGATGATTCCAATTCAGGAAGGAGGAGAACATGCACCCCCCCCCCCCATTTGAGAGTTTTAGAGCAGGGTGGGGCACCTGCTAGCCTTATTTTAGGTTTGGGTTCCACCCATGTTTGCCTCTAGCTCCACCCACCTTCTGCATGCAACCCCTAAAAGACAACCCCCAAGATACCCAAGAAGAAAAAAACACTGCCTTAGGAGAAGGCTCTGCACCATCCCCCTCAACATTATGCCTGCCTGATAATTTGGGGCTACAACTCCCATCCGTTCCAACTGACATGGCCAGTGCTTGGAGATTATGGGAGTTGTTGTTGAAGCTATCTGGGAAGCATTGCATCGAGGGAAATTATTGAACAACCCTAAAGCATAGCTGGCACCCTCATTTCACGGCTACAACTTCTCCCTCTCTCTCCCTCTCTCTCCCTCTCTCTCAGATCCAGAAGTTGATTAAGGATCCTGCTCCAGACAGTGGCCTTCTTCGCCTCCTGGCAGGACCAAGCCCTCTTTTCAGCTAGGCCAACAGCTCTAAATATGACAATCTGATCCTTTTCTTTTAAAGCCTTTCCCACATCTCTGACACAGCTTGGGTAGGGAGAAACAGAATCAAGCTATGCCATGCTAAATTTTAAGAAAGGGAGGGGATGGCATTGTGGCCTGCCTGGAAAACCCGTGTCCTGATTCCAAGATTATGGCTCTTCCCGTAGTTATGCAGTGGGATGGAAGAGTCCCTGTTTTGCACATGTTCAAGGGCATAGGCCTAGGTTCAGATTTAAAGTCTTCCTGTTTTCTGGGGCAGGGTGAGTGAGTATTGAGGGCCAAGATGGCATTTCAAAGCGACTGGGTTTACGTTTTTCATGACATTGAATCTCTGTGCAAAGGTTTAGAATTCTATACCTGTAAAACACAAAATAGCAAAAACAGGAAAAATAAACCCATTTCACAGATTCTGCAACCAGAAAAATTTCATGATCTGCAATCAGAATAAATGATGCTGATTTTTTCTTCATTTGTACAACTTCCTTTAATCTGCACTTTTTATTTGAGAATGTGTGTACCTATGGAATTTAGAACTGTTTGCTTCTGTATGTTTTGTTACAGATTTAGGAAAAGAATCTAGAAAAATAGGAGAGGGAGGAACAGGTACTATGTCTGGTAGAAGTAAGATGAAGGGGTAGGAAGAGGGAACTACAATCTATGCCGAGGGCTTACACTTGAAGAATTTCCCCACCTAGTGCTGCTTACAGAATGTCTAAGCCTGTGCAGAATCATGAGGGCAAGAAACTTGATTATGTTTACAAGCAGATCTTCTAATTTCTGCAATGTTTGCCATGTTCATGGTTTGATGTTCTGTTCCATTCTGTGCGCCAGGGCTCATGTATATCACTTGGCCACGATAGGGTTGGCAAATTTTGAAAAGGCCAATGTAGTTGTCTGTTTAACAAAAGCTTCACAAGAAGGTACTAGCCAATAATTATGTTTACCTCTCTGTGGTACGAAGTTTCGCTTGCCAATTTCTGAATATCAAGTACAAGTCCTAAGAATATGCCAGTGCACTGCTAACTCAATCACATAGTCAGATTATTTCCATTCCTCTTTTCCTGCCCCTTCCTTTGGAGTAGGATTGCCAGGCTCCCACTCTAAAACTGTTCCTAGAGCTTGAAAGTGTTGGGAAGAATAAAGATAATTCCACAAAACGTAGCTTTCCCCCACAGTGCAGAAATGAGAGAGGAAAAGCCACATTCGGGTTTTGTTTTTTAAGTTGAGCAACCAAAGTCTGACCCTGGAAACCTTGCAAGATATTTGGAGTAGAAAGTGCTTCTCTCAGGTGTTTGCACGGAGCATTTTTGTGCTGGTGCAACACCAGTTTCGTACCTGCCTAGGATGCTAACTAAATCCAGTGAGAGCCCACCCTAGCTCTGCACATTTTGCTGATCCGAAGCGAATAAAGTGGCTTCTGGCAAGGACAGCAGGCGCTTGGGCCTGCTGCTAAAGGTGAGCCTTTCCAGCCAGCCGAAGCACGCCATCCACTGCATCTTTCCTTCCTGATGGTTTCCGTTGTCGCTTTAAGACCCAACTTTTTCCCTGCTCGGCTCCCTCATCACAACACCAGCAACACGTGCCGCCCCACGTGCTTCCAATCCTGAACAGTCTCACTTCCCCCCTCCTGTCACCTTCCCATTGGCCAAAACTGGGTCAGGCTCCTCCCATTCCCTTTGATGCCATTGGCCAAATCTAGGTCAGAGCCCCACCTGCCCCATGGCAGGCGCACATGACAGAACGAGGAGGGTGGGGGGGAGCAGTGTTTGCAAATCTCACGCTCCCGAGCTGCCGATTGGCGGAGAAAGACAGGCTAGGTTCTCCCCGTGGTCTCTCGGTCCCTCCCACTTCGAATGTTGCAAAAGGAGGGGGGAGAACGGAATCACTTGCAAAGTGCTCAAGACCAGAGGAAAGTAATGCGCATTTTGGGTAATGTTATATATATATATATATATATATAACATAAATATAGATATAATTGAAATGTGTCGATTGTAGCCAGAAAGCTGCAGAGAAGAATCTGCTTTCGGTTTCCTAGTGTTATTTATATATATAATTATTATTATTAAGTGAGGGTGAGAGAGATCCTCCAAAAGTAAGATTCCCTCATTACCAGCTGAGAGCAATAACCCCCGCCCCGCATTCTAGATCACGGACGCGTTTTTTCTAGCCCTTCTAGGATCTGGTTGGAGGAGAGAAGTCGAGGCGATCAAGCTTTCTGCCGCTGTTCGAGACTACGAGGTCCTTAGCTAAGGGATCAAGAACTACCGTGTTTTTTGGATTTACTGTCTTTTTCGTGCGCCTCTCAGGGAGCTTTCCTTAGATTCACCCGAAAACTGGCGGCTTTAATTCTGGACTTGGAATTAGACCCCTCCTCCTGTTCCCTGGGGGAATCTTTTTGGAGCGAAGGAGATCTTCCTAGGCTTGGAAATACACTCTCCTCCCGCTCTGTGGAGCGACTCTCTTTGGATCTAAGGCGACTTTTTATTTTTATTTCCTCTTTCTCTCTCCTCCCCGCCTTTCAGTCTTCCTAGTTCCCCCCTCCTCCCGCAAGGAAATATTTCTTACCCATCTTTTGGGAAGATCCTTCTCAGAGCCGGTTGGTTGGTAAATTTGGAGCGGGGCAAGGAAAGGCGGGGACCATCGCCTGCCCCCTGGAGGTTTATTTCGAGGCTGGTGGTGGAAGGAGAGAGAGAGAGAGAGATCGACCTCTTTCAAAAACAAGCAAACCTAAAACCTGTTTTCCGATAGAGCATCTCAGCCGAAGCGGCGGCTCTCCCTCGGAGATCTGCTGCTGCTGCTATTTTCCACCGTCTGCTTTTTTTAAACATTTATTTGGTATCCCCTGTTCTACACACGGTCGAAGGAGAAAGAAACCAATCTTGCTTGTGCCACCAAAAACCCACCTCTTGGATTTTGCTGCCGCTGCCATCGCCATGGCCCGTCCAGCGGCCCAGAGCAGCCCGGCACCCAGCCCCATGCTCTCGTCTCCTCCTCTGGGACTAGCCAGCCCAAGTTCTGCCATGGCCAGTCTCAAGAGCCTCCTTCAGGGGCCGGTCAAGAGTCCCGAACGCCGTGGGGCCAAGGACCTGGGCGCATGTGAGTGACAGCACCTTCCATTTACCCTTCTCCCCGATTCCCTGCTTGCCTGCCTGCCTGCCTGCCTGTCCGTATGCCTGTCCATCTGTCTGGCTCTCCTCACTCAGCAAGCTTTATCTTCAGCCTTCCACTAAGTGCTCCCTTCCAGATGTGTTGGACTACAACTCCCAGCATCCTCTTGCCAGTTGTAGCCCAGTGCTGCTGGAGGGCACCAGGTTGGAGAATGCTGGTCTGATTAATTCCATCCATTTCTGATTCAACCATGTATTTTTGCACACAGTAGGATCCTGGTGTTTAAAACTCTAGGTCACAATTGTGTGTGTGTATGTGTGTGTGTGCGTGCATTTCCTCTTGAAACAACAGGATTGTTCTTATTCCCATTTTACAGTTGGGAGAGCTGAGAGAGGAGTATTCCCAAGATAACACTGCTGTCATGGGTAAAAGCAGAACTTGACTCTGATGCTCTCCAATTGTTTTAGATTACAAGCCCCATTCTGCAGGGGGCTGAAGGGGCTTGTAGTCCAGTACAGCTCCCAAACACCAGGTTGTGGAAGGTTGGGCTGGCCCATCTGTCTCACTACATTAGATGCAGGACTTCCTGTCCATTGCTTTTGCCCCTACAGGCCCTCCCAGCTATTCTGGGCTGTTAGGTTAAGGCCTCTGCAATGGTTTTCTCTGTGCCATGTTATCCATAAATGTTTAGCTCAATACAGATGAACTGTTAGTCTGTTAATATAGTTCAGAAATGTTCCTCTGCTCTGTGCATCTTCGCTTCCACCACTTATTCAACTGGCCTTGTATGCAACTCACTTCTATAGTTACAGTGCTTCCTTGTGCATATCTGTCTGTCTGTCCATCCATTCTGTGCATTTTTAACTACTTCATAGTCATAATTCACATCCCTTCATCCAAAATTTAGTAATTTTCTCCCTCTTAAAAACAAAAAACAAAAAACAGCAAATCCACACCAGGATCTCTGAGTTGCAGAGGTTGGAATAGGATGCTGTGGCAAAAATGAGGTCTTTCACAAGAAATGCATTTACTAGGTGATGCCTTATGCCATGTATTTCTATGCTGTGTATTACATACTTGCATTCCTACACTTCCATCCAGACGGCCTTCGAAATTTCAGCTTTCACTTTTGCCTTCTGTCTGGATTTGGGGATGGCCCTGAGGAGAATGCAGGCAGTGTTGCTGCAAATACAGTGTCCCCATTTCAAGCCACCTGCGTTGTGCCCTGCAGATCCATGAGACACTTTCCTAGATTTTTGCTGTCTCCTGCACCATGAGAGTTCCCAACAAACGGCACTTGCTTTATCAGAAATATTGGTTGACTTATTTGTCAGAATCTGCCTCTAGCTTGATCCAGCTTATGAAGGCAGAGACAGTGTCTCTGTTCTCTTTTTGAAGGAAAAAGGGTCTTACTGAAGATATGGGAGTGCAGCAGAATCTAATATGCTTTGACTGGAACTCTGAAGGACAGTGAAGGCTTCCAACAGGATAGAATATAGGAGAAGCCAGACTTCTGGGTTGTTTGGGAAAGGAATAGAGTCCTTCCCCAACCTTGTCCCCCCCCCCCCATAGATGTTTTAGACTACAACTCCCAGCATTCCTGAGCATTGGCCATGCTAGCCAGGGCTGAGGAGAGCTCCCAAAAATCTGGAGGGCACCATGTTGGAGAAGGCTGATTGCTATGCCCTCAGAGGTCTATGAAGTATTTTAAGCTGCCACTGTTTTCTAATACAGGCTTGGATTTAGATTTCCAGATTCTGGTTGGTTTGTTTTCAGATGTGTGTTTGAGAGCATTGCACACCTCACCCTGCATTTGGTACTGCTGGCAAGCAATTTCGACAGCTTTTTCCAAATAATAGTGAAAAAGAAGTGTGTTGGGGAGGGTGAGAAGAGCGGTCGGTTTTCTGAGTGTTGATATGCAAGAGGAAGTCATTGTCATGGACTTGAGGGGAGGGGAGGGGAGGGCTGGGTGAGAAGCACTTGTCCGAGACTCCGGGGTTGTGTTGGGGAGTGAAGTCTAGTGGGTTCAGTCGGACTGGATCCAGACGTCCTGGATCGCGTGAAAGGAGGTAGAGGGAGGGACGTTATGAGGCTGGAGGGCAACCGTTTGGGAGCCAGGGCTCCTGGGTTCTCGTTACTGGAGAGGTGCCAACTCATCAGGGTTTTCCAGGGTGAGCCACCAAGCGAGGTTTCTGTACATGCGCATGCACACACATCGCACACACACGCGCGCGCGCACACACGCTGTTACATCTGCTGCTGGCAGCAGTAAATCCCTTAAAGCTGCACACAGCCCAGCCACGGGACACAGCAGGAGGGAGTGAAACGTGCGGGCGCGCGCGCGCGGTGGCGCTTCGCCCCAGGAAACACTCTCAAAAGTCTTCTCGCACGGGCGGGCGGGCGGCGAAGGGCAAGGAGGGAGGTGGCGGCTGGTGCATCACAGGGGCACTCAGGGTGCCACCCGGGGTCAACACCCCACGAAGGGAGGGAAGAGAGAGGCAACCCCCGTGCGCAAGCTGGCATTTGGCTTCTGGCTGGCAGACAAGATGGGAGGCGGGCGCACCGACACGGACGGTGGGTATCTTTCTCGGCACTTTTCTGCAGCGGGTGAGGAGGGGGCAGCACGGCTGCCCCGGGCAGCTTGCGGGCTGAGCGCCCCCGAGGAAGCCAGGCTGAGCTTTGGGGAGTGGGCAGCTGCAGGGCGGGTGGGTCAGGATTGTATGTGGGCTCAATTTGTTGTAGTTTTGAAAACGTCAGAGAGATTCTCTCGTTGCCCATATATACCCATCCGGGGGGGGGGGGGGGGGGGGGAGTAAATTTCCATGCATGGGTCTTTTATGCTGCACCTCCCCTGCAAGAATACAGTATACCATGCATGCACACGTTTATGCACATGTCCACAGGGGTGGTCACAGATTTATGCTCCACCCCACCAGAATGTATTTCTTTCTCTCCCCCCCCCCCCCCCTTGTGTGTGTGTGTGTGTGTTTTTGAGCAGGAGCTAGTTCAAGCTTGGGTTTATGCCTTTTCCCAAGGCATTGTTTTGCTTCTCTCTGTAGGAAGTGAATGGCAACGTTTCTCTTTAGAAGAGAAAGTAAACAGCTATGCTAAGAAGGTGTAGGATGGGGGGTGGGGGGTGGGGAAGGTAGACTGCTAGCCAGCCTAAAAGTTCTGGGGAGCACTGAAAAAATAATGGGCAGTTCAGTTAGTTTGCAGACCTTTTGAAAAGAGTGTCGTTTTCTTTAATTGCTTGTAAAGAAAAAAAAACCGGCAGGGAAAATTTAGGGGGCTACCCCCAGCTCACCCCCTGACTAGGAGGAGGGGTGGGGTGGTGCTCAGTTTACTCCTGAAGTTTGCATTCACCAAGACGCTAGCCTGATCCTTATTTCTGGGTTTGTCTTTCGGTTGGTTCTTTCATCTGTGGGAGTTGTTTTGGCCACACTCCAGCATGATATGCAGAACCTATGCATGTTTACTTGGAAGTAGGTTCCCATTAAACCCAGTGGAGTTTCTTTGTAGACTGAATATAGTGGGTGGAAATGCTATTATTGTATTTTGTTACCAGGGTGTCTCTGCAGTCTGAAAATAGCTCTCACAAACTCTACTGTTTGTTCCCATTGCGCAGATGAGGAAAACTGAGGCTTGAGATGTGGTAGCTGCTTAATACCAAGCAGAAGGAGGGATTGAAGACAAGTCTAATAGCTCTGTATGGAATTTGATAGCATCTGGACAAAGTTGGTAGTGGTGAGAGGGTACATTCAAAGATTAGATGGGCTAAGGCAATAGCTGGACATAGTGAGAGTGGCTTTATATTAGGCCAGTGTGCTTATGGCAATTCTGTCTTGAAACATTTTAAATAAAATAAGGAGGCAGCCTTAGGCATGGCATAGAATTGCATCCAAAATAATTTATTTAATGTCAGTTCTGTGTTGCACCATGTTCTTTAGAATCACTTATCCCCGTGACCAGTCCCTTTTACCCTCATCATAGACCTGTCAAGATAGTTCATTCTTATTCCCATTTTACAGATGGGGGAAACTGAGGTTTAAGAACTTGCCCAATGGTACCTTAGGGGATCCAGAGGTTCAGCCAGCATCTGCAGCTGCCCACTTCTGAGTCTTGACTGGTGCTGACTTTTTGGTGGTGCATATAATAGGGGTGGCATTGGAAAAAGGGGAAGAAAGATAATGGCCTGAAAGAAGCAACTGTCCATCACGGAGCTGTGTGCAGGTTCAACCCTGACTGTCTGTGGGGCGTCGTGGGTGACTCACCCAGTTTCGGGGTGCAGGGCTAGTGTCACCCAGGCCTGTCAGCCGGGCCTGGACTTCTCCTCCACGTGCCCAGGCAGAGTCAGGGTTCAGGTATGGAGTGCCACTCCCAGGGCTGCCTGAGCCTCGTGCTGAGGGTTGGGCAATTTTTCGAGATTCTTGGCCTGTAAATTGAGTGGCACTCATGGTTTGAGAGGCCTGGGAGAGGGTGGCAGCCAGAGCTTCACTCCTGCACAGGCAGCGAAGGCTCCCAAGCTGCCGTGGGGCTCTTGGCACTGGGCTTGTGGCAGAAATGGCAGCGGTGGGGGACATGCTTATCCCTCCAAGTCCCACCCCGGTTTTTGCCAAACCGTACACGCGCCTGCTGCAGTTGCCTTCTAGAAACAGTAGCAGACGGTCATGAAAGGTAAGGGACAATCAGCCCAGCTGCCCTTTTGATGAGTGTTGTGGGGGAGTCAGTTGGATGCCCCCATCCCTGCCCCCATATGCATTCTGGCTGGGGCTGGTGGGGGTTGTAGTCCCAGTGCATCTGGAGACTGCCAGGCTGGGAAAAGTCAGCTGAGAACTGGGACGATCAGGGACTCCTGGATCCTTGGTGTGGGTTGGAAGGAAAGAACTTGGCAGTTGGAGTCTCCTGGGTTTTCCCCCTGGCTGCTTGACCGTGTGCGTCTTGGGCTGGGTGGAGAAGCAGCGCCTGTGCATGCCAGCACAGGAGAGATGCCAGTTGGCAATTCCTCTGAGCAACCCGGAGACGCGTGCTCACACATGAGCGTACCCACCAGGGTCACCCTGTAGCTGCCGCCTTCTCCCTGCTAAGGAGCGATGGAGCTAAAGGGATTCAGGCAGGCAGATGGGCTGAAAAAGCTGCAAGGGAGCGGGAGCGCCCGAGAGCCCAATCAAGCGTGGCAGGACGCGGGGTCAGCCGAGGCGAGGCTGCTGCTCACGTTTTGCTGGTGAGCGGCATACAGCCGTCTGGGGCTGTAGAGATAAGGCTGGGGCCCTGGCAAATTCTCACAGTATCTCCTCGGAAAAATGCTGCCAGTGAGTTTTGAGTTCGCTGTTTTCCACCTTGTCCTTTACTCACTCGCACAGTCTGCCTGTGCAAAATAAGGAGGGTGATGTCTTCGCAGCACCGTCTTTTCTGCGGGCAGCCCTTCGACAGTAAGAATGCAAGGAACTGTCCAGGAGGTGTCCATATAGGAAGCTCTTCATACCGAGCCAGGATGTTGGTCCGCAAAGCTCAGTGTGGTTGATACGGACACCCAGACACCGCCCCCCTAAGATTCCAGGCAGGGATTTTTCCAGCCCTTTCCAGAGAAGCCCGAGGATGGAACAGGACACCTTCGACACGCAAAGCAGATGTCCTGCTACGCAGCCCCACATCCTAGAGCAAGGATGTCGCACACAGCTGGCCGCATGCTGGAGGCTGGTGCGGAGCACCTCTGGGGGCAAAATTTTTGGTTCACCTGCTCAGGTGAAGTGGGGCTCTCTAAGCGCCCCATGGGGCTTGGAGTTGCATTGCACACATGGCGTCAAAGCTCTACGTGTCAGGACTTGGTGATCCGCCAGTCGTCCATTTCCAAATCGCCTTCCACACCCCACACTGAGATCTATTGCTGTTCCACTTGCAATGCTATCTCTATGCTGATATGGTAACACCAAGTCAGGATGATTTCATTTTATATTTTCTATTCTATTCTACTCTGATTCTGTCTTTTCCGTCCTTCAAGGAACTCAAGGCAGCTTGCATAATTCTCCTCCTCTTAAGCCTGCCTTCACAACAACCCTGTGAGGCAGGTTGGTCTGGCCCGAAGTCACCCAGTGGGCTCCATGGCTGACCAGGGACTAAAACCCAGAGCAGCTGAGTCTTGCATTCTTAACCATTACACCACACTGACTATTAATGGAAGCAGGTAGCTAATCTGTACATCTACCTCCTTCGCTAGGCTGCATTATTGAGCTAGCCCTGTGTGAAGGATCAGATGCACGCAAATTCACACCCTCAAGTTTCAATGGACAGTGCTCAGTGCTGCACACTTCCGAATATCACTGGGCACACCTCCCAGCAAGCCAATCGAGCTTTGACTCTTTCAGCTTCACTCCTCTGTGGTAACCAGTCCCAGGATGACTTTTGGCAAGGAAAATCTGCCAATGAAAATTTCCTGCTTTGCAGTTACTTTTACAAAATCTAGGCCTTCCTATTACAGAAGTGTAAATGATACTGTATTCAAGTGTTACATTTTGGAGACAGTTTCAGCTGGCTGAAGCACTGAAACTGTACTTAGTTCCCTATAAAGTGTTTTTCCTTTCTTTAAAAAAAAACTTTGGTTTAACCTTTAAATCCTTCTTCCAAGTGGTACAGAACCTACAATATTTATAGCTACATTTGCCCATCTTCATTCAATGCTTCCTTGTCCCCATTCTTACTTGTCGCCTTCTTCACTTCTGATTGTAAGCTGTTTGGGGCAGGGGCTTGCCTTTTTTCCTTCTTTCAAAACTCTGTAAAGCACCACTTTGAGGAGGCCATCTGCCCTGAAAGGTGACCAATACATGTTTTCAAAAGCATAATTAATGAATTGTGTCATAGTAGTAGTAATAATACTGATTGACTATACTGATGATTAAAATTAATGCTCTGCTGTTTGACAAAAACATATGTACTACTGTGAAGAGCATACACAATTTTATCATAGGTTTTGATAGTTTCCCAGGTTTTTCACCGCTCCTTAAATTGCTTATCTGAAATTTACGAAGAATGAATGTCAAGTCTAGCTTGCTTGCTTTCCATTTTCCTTCCTGCTTTTTTCTGGTTGGATCCCACTAGATTCCTGTTCTTAACATGTTTTTCAACCCATAACTCTTGCTCCGTAATCCACATTTTCCATCCCCCCCTTTCTGCTCCATTGCAGGTGTGATCAAAGACAAGGAGCGCAAGATGGAGGATGAGCTGAGCATTTCGCGACCAGGCCACTGTGCATACCTGGGTTCTCTCCTGTGGGAACGCACACTGCCCTACAATGAGATTGAATACGTCGATTTGGATGAATTCTTGCTGGAAAACGGTTTGCCACCAAGTCCAGCCCATCAGCCCTTTTCACCAGGTAGTCAGCCCACCGCCTCACCTTCCAGTGGGGTCGTGGTGGACCTCAGTCGTCCAGCCTCTTGTGCGTCTTCGTCTTCCGTCTGCTCATCATCTGGGGAAGGCCTGGTGGGCAGCGATTATGACCACCACTGCAGCAAGACAGGTAAACAGTCTGTACACTGGGAATGAATGTGGCAGCGGGAGGAGCTGAGGGGAAGTCAAGTGTTTTCGTTTTTGCTCCCTTTTCTTTTCCTTTTAATTTTCTCTCCAGGCAGCGCTACTTTTCTCAGCTGTTAAACCCAATATGTTCCAATAATTTTGCTCCAAGTGCAAATGGCATTTTACCTGTTTGGACATTTGGGGCTCAAAGAAATCACTAATTTAGATATAAGGAGATAACTGTTTATAGCACCCTTCATGGTTACAGGGAATATAGGCAGTTTTATGCCTTCCTTGGTTGGTTACAGAGAATCAAGTTTCTAATCTCTACCCTGATTACAAACAGCTTTCAGTTCCAGCTTCTAGTTGCAAAGGTAATGGTAGCCTTCTTCTCTACCATTTCTAATCTGCACCCTAGTTAAATTATTTGTTCCCTTCCCTTGCCACTGGAATAACTGGGTATATTTCACCAATATGTGTGCGCACGCGCACACACACACACATTCTCGCTCTCTCTCTCTCTCTCTCACACACACACACACACACACACACTCGCGGGCGCACCAAACAAATTTTTATGCTGGTGATTGCAAGGAAAAAATATTGTTTTTAATCCCTTTCCAGGTGCCTACTTAGCTAGATTATACCTATTTGGCATTTCAGTACTACTTGCAATGCGGTTTTGTTACAACCACAGGAGGCGTCTTGCGGAATGGTCTGGGAGCAATTGATGTTGTAGCATTGTTGAAGCAAAGTGTGTATGGAATTTGTCCCATGGATGGTAACTCTCTATTAGAATTAGAATGGGTACATTGACTACGGGGTATATTGGATATGGGGAAGGGGTACTACTTCATACAGTATGTAATCCAATGATGAAGATGTGCAAATGCTTATGTTTAAAAAATGGCCACACGTTATTTAGGTGACCTATGAATAAATTTGGGTGAATTATACATTCAAGATAGTGTGTGTGTGTGTGGGGGGGAGAAAAGTCATATAGCACAGCTTGGAAGGAGGATTCCCCTCCCCATCACTGCTAAAACTAACTTCTATTTCTTTAAAATATTTGTACTTTCCCTGAAGCTGAAATAGTTTTTCAGGCATTTTCTTTGGTTGCAATGATTTTTCAGACTTTTTTCCTTCCTCAAATATGTACATTTTGAATCCCAGTGGGAGGGTAGGGAGTGCGGTGAGGCTTTTATTTTTCCAGACTTTGGAGGTTTGGGTTGAGTATTTTACACAGACTTTTGCATCTGAAAGTTACCTTCCAGTTTTGATCCTGAATGACCCTTTTCTGCTTTCATTTAGACAGAGTCATGGTTTTTGTGCAATTTGACAAGGAGGGTGGATATCATGAAATGCTGGGTTTTGTTTGAAATACAGAGTTGGGAGATATCAGGAAAACAAGTTAGTGGGACGACCTGGCTCCATCCTTAGTGAATTACATCAGGACCCCTGGGATTATGTGCCCCAGTGATCCACACTCAAGAAATTACTCTTACACCAGCAGTGCTCCGAGCTGATTCCCAGTTCAGTGGCAGTGGTAACTCATCAGTCGAATAGTGGGTGGTGTGCCCACTGATGTCACCAGGCAATATAATTAAAAAGCAATGGTATCATCCACAAATGCAGATTTGGTAAATTTGGGTGGTTTCTCTTAAACCACAACACTTTCCAATATAAGAATGGAGGGAATCCCACCAATGAACCCCAACTTCTTTCTCTTCTCCCCGTCCTCTAATTCACCTGGCTCTGTTCTAACCACAGAGCTCAAATCCTGGCTCAATTCGCCATCCTTCCCTTCAATATGACTATATTTGCTAAGCTTCCCATGGTGGGGAAAAAGAGTCCAGGTATCTGGATTCCCACCTCTGCAACCCAGTAGCCACTGTGCAAACCAGGAGTCCCTTAATAATACAACTTGACAACAATACTCCCACCTCTTTTAAGGTTTCTCCAGTACAATCTTGGGTACCAAGTCCTGGATCCTGGTATCTGTTTGCCAAATTGCTTGCTTTCCATTCCCATCCCACCCGGTCCACACCATCACCATCCAGGAATCCTCCATACCTTCTCTGCCTCCCTTTGGGCATTGGCGACGGCTATCTTATGTGCCTCGCACCTGCCCAGTAATCCACTAGATCGCCCTTGGCTGTAGGAAGTCCTGGATACCTTTGACCACACCTTCCCCTCCCGCCCATTCCGAAGCGATGGATCGTGCCTCCCCCCCCCCAAAACCCCAGGAATCTTGAATCCCCGCAGTCTGCCCCCCCACCCCCACCCCTGTAGTCTGCTCCCCCCAGAGGGAAACCCGGGCAGTCTGCCATTCCCTTCCAGAGAATCTGGGTGTTCGCAAGCGTCCTCCTCGAGGTGGGGGCTCCCGGTGGTGCAGCACGAGGCAGCCCGGGGTGGGGGCGAGGGCAGGCTGCTGCGGCTGCGGGGAATCCCGGCTGCTGCCGCGCGGAGCTCCTGGCTTGGGCCGCTCCCGCCTGGGAAGCCCGGGGGCGCGGCGGCGGCGGCGGCGGCCAGTCTCGTGTCTGTGCACGGAGCCGCCTGTCCCCGCTCACGTTCCCTGGCCTGCTTCTGCGAGCACATGTCGCTCGGCTCGGCTCCGGCGCTCGCTGCCAGCTGGCAGCCTGCCCCCTTCCTCGTCGCGGGGCGGGGCGGGGCGAGCGGGCACGTGGGGCTGCGGTGTGAGGCCGGCGGCGGGCGGAGCCTCTCCGGGGCCGTCGCGCCTGCGCCGCCGCCCGTGCGCGTGGCCGCCGCCCGCGGGGCCGGTCCAGCAGGCTGCGAGCGAGCGAGCGGGCGGCGCGGCCGGAGCTCCCGGGCCGGAGGCCGCGCTCCGGTGGGCGGGCAGGGCCTCTGGGTTCGCCGCAGAGACGAGGGGAGGGGAGTTGGGCCCCTGGGCCTTCCAAGGGGCGGGGGGCCAAGTTGGGTGGGGCAGAACTAGTGGGGCTAGTCGGGGCCCCAGGCTTCCCTCGGGGGTCTTGTTCGGTGTGGGAGGAGGGAGCCAGGGCTCCTGCGTTCTTTCAGGAGGGTGGTCTCGTAGTGGGATGAGGGCCTAGCTTCTCGAGGAGGAGTAGGGCTTTGTAGGGTCGAATTTAGGGTGGTGGGCTGTGAGCTAGGATTTCTTGAGGTTTTTTTTGGGGGGGGGCGGTTCAGAGCTAGGACTCCTGAGTCCTTTAAGAGGAGATAGGTCTAGTGTGCAGGAGGGTGCCTAGTGGAGCCTGGGCTTTAGAGTTCATCTGAGGAGAGGGTTCTAATACTGAGGTGGGGCGGGGGGGGGGGTTGAAGAGGAAATACCACTAGGTTATCCAAGGATAAATCCAAGGATTTAGTGTGGAGAACGTTGATCAAAGGGAGGCAGAACTCAGTCATTCTCACAGGGCAGTGAAGCCTAGGGGGAAGGGGTCTCCAAGTGGAGTGAGATCTAGTTCTGTGTAGGGGAGAGAGGCTGAGGCTTCCCAGGGTTCAGACCCAGACCTGGGTGGGGCAGGGGAATACCTTGATGTCCAGGCTAAAAGAAAGCCAAGGTATCTGAAAGGCAGATTTCAGTGATGAAGGAGAAAGCTAAGGACTTGCATACCTGCCATGCATGTGAAGATGATTCTAGTGTAAGGGTTGTGTGGGTGAACTCAACTCCATACTGCTGGCTTCTTGCCAAGATTTGCCAAGTCTACTTAGGGTGCAATCCTGTTCATGTTTAGACAGCAAAGATTCCTATAACTTGTAGCCAGCTTGGCTAGCTAGGACAGCCCAGAGTTGTAGGATCTTTTCCTCACTAAACATGCATAGGATTGAATGCTTACTGGGCTAGCATTTCCTGGCTTCACTCTTGTATCCTTTCTACATGCCCAGATTCTGACAACCCATAACTCTAAGCAACTCCTAACAGCTTGGAGGAAGAGGCCTTTTCCTCCTTTTGTCACTTGATGATAATCCCCACCCTCCGCCCTCTCTTCTCCAGGTAGCGGCCCATGATAAGCTTTCAAAGCGGCCATCACGTGGCTGGTAGTTGTCAGAATCCACTTTCCCTCATGCCTCTTTCCCCATCTGTTAAGCATTTAGCAGATCTGCCAGGCCCACGTGGCTGGCTGGACACTGCAGACGGTGCGGTGCTGTTCCCAAAACGGTTTTGTGATGCTGCCTAATCCCCAGAAATTTGCCACCCCCCTCCCCGGCCTGTTTTTAATCCTCGTGATCTGTGCAGCTGACTGGTGTAAAACCGTGTGTCCCCAATTCACCGTTCTTGCCAGGATGCTTGCCCTGTGGCCCTATTCCTCCCCACAAAGTCCTTTAACCACCCTTCTAAAGTGCTTCGCAGAGAGAAGCTACATGTCAGATGGATGCCTAAATAGTGTGTGTGTGTGTGAGAGAGAGAGAGAGAGAGAGAGAGTTTGTTTACAATAAACTCAGTAGGGATGATGAGGAGGAGGAGTGGAGCAGAGAGGCCCGCAGTGCAGGTGATCCACCTGGGTGCTTCTGCTGCCCTCTTGTGGCTCCATTTTGTATGACATTCACATGGATTTCTCCTGCCTCCCTCACTTCCCTCAGGTCCCATCACACCTGCGTCCCGGAGTACCCCCAGCCCAGTGGACCCTGAGGCAGTGGAGGTCCTCATGAACTTCGACCCGGACCCCGCTGACTTGGCACTGTCCAGCATTCCTGGCCATGAGACCTTTGACCCCCGCAAACATCGGTTTTCTGAAGAAGAGCTTAAACCCCAACCCATCATGAAAAAGGCACGGAAGATACAAGTTCCGGATGATCAGAAGGTGAGACTGGAGCAAATATGTACCATTCATTCCCCTCTCCCTCCACCGCTGCTGCTCCCCAACTGTTCTTCACCTGCAGGGCATCTGCAGCAATGTTGCAAGGAGGCAGTTGCTTTGATCTCCCTTTCACCACACTTCCTTCCACTCCATGTAGTTGGAAACAGTTTGGGAGTGTGTTTTAATGTAAGCATTTCTATCTTGCTTTCCTGGGTCTGGAATCAAACTTAATGGATAAAATAATAATTTATTTTAAATAATACTTAATAAATATAAACATTAAACTCAAAAATTATCAGGGGTCAGACTAGATGACCTGGGAGGCCCCTTCTGACTCACTCTGTTTCTTTGTTTCTATACTCGCTGCTCTGTATGAATTTAGGGGGTGCCTTGCTCCATATACTCCTGCCTGTTGCTCGAGATCAACTGAGGCCCTCTTATGAGTCCCTTTCCCCAAGGAGGTTAAGTGAGAGGCTGTAAAGAGGAGAGCCTTTTCTGTGGTGGCACCCCAATTATGGGATACTCTACCTTTTGAGATTTGCCAAGGGCCTACTCTGTTGAGTTCAAAAATGTTTTACGCCGCACCTATGGCATTACTTGGACCCTTCAGACTAATTGCACTGGTTTTAATATATTATTTGTTTTTATTTTTATTTAATTATGTATATTAAAATTTTATTTTGTTTTATTATGCTATTTTTAATGTTATTTTATTCATATTTTTATTTTATTGGCTGCCCAGAGAGTGTGATGCTAATAAATACATCAGTGAATGCATGCAGAAAAGACACTGAATGAAGAATAATAGTGGGCCAAGCATTCAGTCAAGCCATTTTGAGCAAACAAGTCTTACAAGCAAGCACAAGGGGTGCTATTTTGTGGGGCAGCAGTTGGTTTTCAGACTTTCTGCGCTTGAGGGACCCTTTTCAGCTTGAACCTCGATGCTCTGCAAAGGGAAGAGGAGCGTGTTCTAGGCCACACAAGCTGCTTCTCCAGAGTTCGCTGTTGCGAGGGTTGAGCTTATGTAGTGGGACACAGAATTCACAAATGGAGTTTTCAGGCCCCTACATGCACACTGCAAATATTTGATTGAGATTTTTTAAGTGGTGTGAGTAGTGTGTGGTGTGTTTTGAGGTGGCCTTTTTGTGAATGTGGAGTCTTTGTGCTCGTGCTCGCTCTTGTGCTGTGTGTGTGTGTGTGTGTGTGTGTGTGTGAGAGCGAGCACACATGTGTGAGCAAGATTATCCTGTTACGAGCTCTGGGATTTTTCTAATGGCCCTCAGAACTGTCTTTGCTTTTTGTGGGAACTACTGGGAACTTGTTTTGTTCTGTTTTATTGCGTATGAATTCCAAACTAGTCCAGGAGTTGGAGATCCAGGATTGGTTCTTCCTTATTTCTAAACTTCTTTTAAGAAAACAGATATGTGAGGACCATAGCACAGGTGGAGAAGGCAAGCTGTGTCTCCTCTCCTGGAGCTGCTGTTTGCCCTGGTGAGGCAAAGCTGTTTTTCCCTTTACAAGGCAAAAAAAGGAATCTTGGGAGGGGACATGCACCAGGAAAGGTCCCCGAGGATCAGATATGGTTCCTGTTCCCCCAGCACCTTGGCCACAAGCCAGACCCACCCCACAACTTTTAAGGAGATTTATTTTTATTTCCGATTTATATCCTGCCTTTTTCCTACAAAGGGCTCAAGGCAGCTTACATCTCCTCCTCCATCTTATCCCCACAACAACAACCCTGTGAGGTAGGTTGGGCTGAGAGTCTGTGACTGGCCCAAAGTCACCCAGTCACAGAGATAAGACAACTGATCATGAATCCTTGGTTTCCAATGTCTTGTCTACTATAGCCACAGTTGTGTCTGCCTGAAGGGCTCTTTTGTGGTTTATCTGTTCAAGGTGTAGGCAGTGGAGCCAAGGGGTTAGATCCAGGCTTGGTCATACTTAGAGTGAACTTGAGGCCTTCTCCTAAGTATGACTCTGTGTCTGGAATAAGCAGGTTTTGACGTGCCTGTTACAGCATAACAGTATCACCAGGCCTGTGCCCTCTGGGGAGTGTGTTTTTGGTGTATACCTATTTTCTGTGCCCCTGGATTCACACAATTTTCTGGCCCTGCGCCCCTCTTCAGATGAGAGCAGCGTGTATCTGTGCATGTATGTGTGCATTTTGGAAAGCACTGATGCAAAAGAGTGTGTGTACCTGTCACAGATTCCAAAATGTGTTGGTTGCAAATGGGAGATGTCAAGTTTAACTTTTCTTCTTAAAGAACTGTATTTTAGCCATAAGTCAAAAGCTTGCCTTGCCACTTCAAACACAGGTGGTGGTCATCAGCAGTAGAAAGGCACTCCACATATGCTCAGGCATGCTCTTCTCTGCAGGTGCTGAGAACAACTCCAGGACTGGGATTTAGCATGAAAATAGAGTGAACTGGAGGAAGGAAGGGCCAAAAACACACTTTGGGAAATTGGGGAGATGGTTTTATTATCTTTCCTGCAGTGAGCCCTTAGCATTCTCCACTCTGTTTTTTCCACTCAGGCCTGTGTGACAGACTTCACAGTCCGATAGATGGCTAGTCCTGTCACTTCCTGAGCTTTGGGATTTAGTAGAGATTTGGACCCAGATCTCCTTGGTCCAACCTTTGACCTTTGTGCTACAACATTAGACTAGTTCATCTTTTGGCCTGTGCCACCAGTTTCTTCCAGGCTGCCCATTTGGCCTGGTGAAAATTAGCAGGGGTGCTGAACTTTGGCTGTGGGTGGGGGGCTAAATCTGGCTCTCAGCAAGTCCTTAATGACCATACCCCCCAGCCTCTTTTGTACAAACACCAGTCATTAGAGGGTTTCCTCATTCTAAAAGGTTGAAATGCCTCTCCTTAGATTAGGCTGGGGGCAACAAAAGCTTTTAAGTGGCAGCATGGGATGGGGGTTGCTTTGGGGGTTTTGTCACATTTCTAGCCTGGCCCCATTCGCTTGGGCTGAGGGATCCCCACCACCCCTGGAAAGCGGCCCCTGGGAGCATCTTCAGAATGGCATTTAGCGTTTAGGCTGAGAGAGCTGCAACACCCCGATCTAAGGAGGTCTTGTAGGCACTGGGTGCAGGGCCCCATCCCTCCTTGGTGAGGAGACCGTCCTAAGAAGCATGGGTGGCAGAAGCCAAGCCAGTCTGGAAGCAGTCGGTGAGGTGACAGGCCCTGTGAACCAGGTGCTTTCTGAGCCTTGGTGAAAGGTGAGATGTTACCATGATAAGTAGTCATTCGTGGAACATCCGTGGCCCAAAAGAGCCAGAACTCATCCCAGACATTTTTCTTTTTCAGGGTCATTCCTTGCTGCATGTTTTAGTGCTTTTAATTTTTTAATTCTTCTTGGATTTTATGCTATTTATGGTGTATTTGTTTGTCCTGTTTTTATGGTTTGTTATAAATCGCCCAGAAAGTTTCAGGTAAGATGCGGTAGAGAGATGATGATGCTGATAATGATAACGATATGATGACACAACTGCTTGCAAGGAACTGTGCTTGTGGGTATGGACTCCGAGGGCCAGCATTTTCTAGAACGCTGGGTGTATCTCGTTTTGTTTTCTGACCTGCTCTCTTTTCTTTTCCTGCCTCCTTTTCTGATGGTTCCAGGATGAGAAATACTGGAACAGGCGGTACAAGAACAATGAGGCGGCAAAACGGTCGCGGGATGCCCGCCGCCTGAAAGAGAACCAGATCACTGTCCGGGCAGCCTTCCTGGAGAAGGAGAACGCCGTCCTGCGCCAAGAGGTGGCCAACATCCGCCAGGAACTGACCCGTTACCGCAGCATCCTCTCCAAGTACGAATCGCAGCATGGCACCTTGTAAAACCTGCGGCAGGGAAGCTGCGTTCTTCTCCACCGTCCACCACAAGGTGGTGGGGCCACCCTGGTTTTTCAACCCTGACCCCCGTCTTCCCGAACCGGGCAAACAGATATTCAAACAGATGTTTGGAACGAGGGGAAAGGTCCACGGCGGGTGATGCCCACATGCGGGGACTACCATGGTCCAGGTGCATGACAGAAGAGATAAGATTTCCTGGGTTGGCTCGTGCCGATCCCTTGCCAAGAAAGGGGCAGTGAAATCCGAGACGTTGAACTGGGCTTCGTAGGCACATGGAACACACCGCGAATGCACAAGGGCTCTGTAGCACGTTGGAAGATGTATTGCGCACACACACACAGGCAGACACACAGGCAGACACACACACCCAGACACACACACACACGGGTTTGACTCGCTGGCAGACTTTTCTATTTGAAGGGCAGAATCCAGTCGCGGACTTCCGCTTCTGCTCACCTCTGTCATATGTGGCATTTGGGGCATTGACATGGCTGTCCCAGGAGGCATGTCAGGATCCCTGGGTTTGCTCTCCTCCTCCTTTCTGACAGCAGGTGCATCGTTTTTCTGCAGATGTTTGCACACAACAATCCTTGCTCATCTCTACTGTTGACTCTTTGTCTGAGGTGGTGGTGAAGGACACAAAAGGCAACAGGTATGGAACCCAGGTGGGCACGGAATCCAGGTGCCCTGGGCTCCCATCAGACCACTAGGCTCTGCCATGCCATGCCCTTCATAAGAGAACCCAGGAGTCCTGGCACCCCAAAAAGAAGATAGGAGGGTGTCCTTCCTTTGGACTCCAGTAAACTTCTGACTTTTCTTCTGCCTATGGAATGCCAAATTAAAAAAAAAACCAAACGGGTTGCACACTCATATTTTTCCACCGTTGAATGAAAATAGGCTTTGTGTCAGAGGGCAGGTGTAGGGGTTGCTAGTTTAATTCCTATGATTCTCGTATTATACCTGTTTTTAGTTAAAAGGCAAGCAGTGCTTTCTGTTCCCCCTCCGCCTTCCTCATGTTTTGTGTCCAGCGCTGTCCGATGTGGTCATATGTACAGACGTGAAAAACAAGCAAACACAAAACCTCATTGGTGACCCTCCATAAATATGAACATATATATAAATAGGTAATTTTCTTTTTGTTAAATAAAGTATATATATATGTATATATATGTATGTATAGACTCCAGGAGAGACTCGAGAGATTAAACTATGTTCTTCTATTGGGGAAAGGATGGTTCTTTCGTACAGAAAGGGAATAGGGGAAATTTGGTCTTTTTAATCTCCTTCAGGGAGGTTCCTGGTCTTGTAATTTTTCCATATAACAGTGTTGCTGAGACTTCAGATTGTGGGGGTGGGGGTGGAATAAGCTTCACAAGAGCTTTTAATTTTTTCAAAAGGATGTTTACAGTTGTATATGACAAGCAATGAGGAATAAAGAAAGACAGGATTTTTTTAAAGGAAACAATGAGCAACGGAGGGGCTTTCTGTGTTGGTATTCACTGTGCCTGTGTAGCTGGAACATGCGCCTCCATGTATGTGAGCGTATACGTTCAGTGTTACCATTCCTAGGTGTGGTTGGCCACTCTGGTTTCTGGAAGGGAGCCATTTCCCAGTATTCTCCTGTGGAAGAAAAACCCCTGAGTCCCTAAGTTGCAATTTTCCCCAACACAGTGCCCTGCGGTAGATTTGGATTTCAGCTCCCATCAACCCCGGCCAGCATGGCTAGGAATTGTAGTCAAAAACAAGGTCCCCACACCCCGTGATAAAGAACGTCCTTTGGGCATCCTGGCTTCAGTTCGTCAGTTTCTGGTGAAAGGACCAAGTAGGCGAAGAGGGGAGAATGCTTCCTGTAACAGGTTTTGGAGAGCCGATGCTGCTCCCACTTAAGAGGCCTGTTCTAAACAGACAAATTCAGGTTTGCTTCCTACATTCAACCCTCTGTTCCCCCCATTCAGTGCAAGCGAGAGGTGGGTGTTGCTCACCATTTATTTATGTAGGCACATAATTAATCTTGGGTTGGATCCAGGATCTGTCTTCCCCAAGAGGAATGGAGTTGGCGTGAAAAGAAGGGCTCCACTTGGAGAACTTTCCTTGTGTCCAGTTTTTGGGGACCCCCCCATCACCCCATAAACCAGGCATGTCTGTGGCATTTTCAGCCAGCTGGATGGGCTGTTTTGGGATGAAGGGGGCAAGGAAGGCCACTTCAGCAGAGCAGTTGCTCCTGCATTACTCTGCACAACTTGTTTGATACCCTGCCTCATATTTGCAGGGGAGCACAAGAGGGCGGGTGGAGACGACAAATGAGACCTGCTGTCACTCTCAAGACCTGACTCTTCTTTGGGTTCTGAGCAGATGACCAGAAAAGCAGCAACCTCGGATTCTTCAGTAAAGGGGCGGCAACAAAAAAACCATGCACCAAAAGGTGCGCATACTGGGAGGAGATGAGGAACGCCTTGGTAGTGGAATCGCCTTGTTTTTAAGTGCTGAACTGCCATGAGACGTCTTCCACTTTTCTGTTCCTTCCCTGACTCTCCAGCTGCTCCAGAAAGGAGAGAGAGGGCGTCCCCTCACCTTTTCAAAGCAGTGACTACAGGGGTACAGGTTTCTCATGCATTCACTTCCCAACCATCACATTGCTGTATATTTGTGTTGTCTGAAAGTATCTGGGAAGTGAAGCAGGTAGTGCTCTGAAAAAGGAGCTTTGTAAAGGGGGGAGGCAGTTGCCTACTTTCTGGAACAACACAAGTTTTGAAAAGGTGGCAAGTGTTGAAAACTGCCCAGTCAACAATTAAAATCAAGAGGATTGCAATGTTAAAAGGCTTATATTGACCCTACCTACTTTTGCTTTTTGCTCTTTACGACTGGTTTTCAATTGATGACTAGGCGCTTGGTCTCTAGCAACTGGGCATAAAATAGCCCATATATTGGCTTGCCTTGTCTTGGACAGCTGAAGCACAAAGACATTGACCGGGCAAGATTACACAGGTAGTTGTAGGTGCACATTTGTACACTTCTAAGTACTGACAAAACTTCTCATTGAAAGATGCTGGGGGAAAAATGCAACAGTCCTTCCAAAATGCTATTCCAGCATCAGCAGAGGGGGCAGTCACTGGTGAAGTGGTAAGAGCAACCGGAGGGGTGCGAGTGGCTCTGCAGCTGCCCCAACAACCCACAGTGAAGGTTCCCTGTCCAGTTTGGATGACACTGTGCCCCGTCATGGGCAGGAACAACTCTAAAACAAACCATAGGTTCTCAGATGGCTTTTTCATGGAAATTCCACTCCAGGTTCAGAGGATAGGACACGGTAAGCATGGATAGCCACCCATAGTGGCTAATCTTGGGTGTAAACCAGGTCACAGTAAGTGAGTTGGGCTGCCTACCGATTGTAAAAGTAAAGTCACTGTTGACAGGGTAACACTGATGGCTTGTCAGCCGGGCTCAGCATCAGGGTGGTGACCTCTGCTAAGGATGTCCTGTTGGGACTATGAGAATAGACAAGCTTGTACATTTTGTCTTCCGTTGTACATGAGTGCATGCATCAAACCTTGATGCCCTTTTTGCTTTTCTGAATCCTAGCTGGATAATTTCTGCAAAATAATAATTTTAAAATATGTCACTGTGTTCACCCCAGCCAGTCCCATTTGGGCCTTTTAATGCTGTAATAACTGAAACTTGGCTGCCACCTTGTGGCCAAAGGCAGGCACTTTAAATCTCCCATGAAGATGTCAGTGTAAAATAATAGGTATGTGGGGTTTTAATGAGCAGCCCAAGTACTGGAGATCATTTTTAAGCATTGTGATAAATGGCGAGTTTCGAGCTCTCCCCCAGATGTACCCACCTCCGTCAAACTAAGGTGGTGGGAGACCAGCTTCCACATTGGAAGAAGGCACCTTCAGGGTGAAGGACAAAGCCATAATTGAAGTGTTCCTAGCTTTGGGCCAGGTACTAGAGTTAGTATCCATCAACCATTCTAAGTCATGGACAAGGTGAACCAGATGCCCACTTTTGGGATGTGCCATGCATAGTAGTAGAATTTCATTTCTATACCACCCGATATCGAAAGCTCATATGCAGGGGGGTCTTGGAGTTTCAACAGACAGACAGCTAAACAGGAGATAGGGTAACACTCTAGCTAGGAGGAGGCAGTTGCAGACTGCAGGAACAGAAGTTTAGTGTCCTGATTGCATGAAGGGCAGTTCTGCTCCCTTCTGTTCTGCTTCGGTCAGACCACAACTGTACGGAGTATAGTTTGAAAAAGATACTGACAGACAGGAGTGTGTCCGGAGACAGGCCACCAAGATTCAGAAGAGGCAGGAGACCATGTTCTATGAGAAAGGGTTTAGGAGACAACTGAAAAGCAACATGAATTTTCGGATATTCGAAGGGCTGAGGCAGAGCTCCAGGTTTTTTGGACCCCCACTCCCAGCAAGAGCCAGGGTGGCGCAGTGGTGAAGAGCGCGGGACTGGGGCTCAGGCGACCCGGGTTCGAATCCCCGCTTGGCCATGGAGCCAAGACTCTCAGCCCAACCTCCCTCACAGGGTGGTTGTTGTGGGGATAAGATGGAGGAGGAGAATGATGTAAGCTGCCTTGAGCCCTTTGCAGGAAAAAGGCAGGATATAAATCCGAAAATAAATAAATAAATAACCCACCCCCACCCTTGCGTGGCCAATGGTCAGGAACACTGCGAGCTGCCCCCCCAACCCCCCCCCCCCAGAGATCAACTTTCTGCTCACTTGCAACATAGCTGATGGAGCAAAATTATCCTGGTGCCCAAGGAAGCTGAACACAAATCAGCTGGTTCAAATTACATGAAAGGAGACTTCAATTAATCAATTAATTCTTCATCAGAACTTCCTGATTCTGTGAGCTGTTTCCCAGGCAGCCTCAGAAAGTGGCCAGCGAGCTCTGGCAGAAGCAAAGACTGGATGGCCACGTCTGATGGATGCTACAGTAACACTGACGGGGTTATATTAGATGCTATTTAAGACCCCTTCCAATCCTTACGATTCTATTGGAGGTGATTAGTTAACAGCTAGAGATGCTCCTCCTTGCACTCCCCAACTTGGCAAAAAAACCAGACACTCATGGATTCCATGCTATTGCTTTTATTGCATAGGGCTGGGTTTGGTTTTGTTTCTGAGTTTTTAGAAGGGGTTATTTTAAATACTATATCATGGACAGGCAACATGTGAAAGGCAGTTGCAGACAAAACAGTGAACCAATACGACACTCCAGACAGACACATAAACATCCCAGATAAAGCCTGTGTTTCTCCAGTCGTACGGGGTGAGGAAGAGAGTCCCAGACCTTCAGGCGCAGTCCCCCATGGAATATGAGACTTGGCAAAGAGATGAGAAAGCAGAAGGCGCCCAGAATGGGCAGGGCACCAAGTGTGATGAGGGACCAAGGGATGATGCCAGGGCAGAGAAGCTCACACAGGCAAGGCTGAAAGTGTTCCGAGCCAGATCAGAAAACCCAGTTCTGTGCACTGGACTAAATACTGATGCTGTTACTCAAAATACCCACACGTTTACAGAACGATGTTTGGACTTGGGTAAAAGAGGCTGAGAAAAATAGGGGTATTATTAAGACATGGAGGGAGGGCAGCAGAGGCTCAGAAACAATGCCCTGGACCATGGTAGAGGGCTCCTTCCTTCGGTGTCGTCTGCACATTTTTGTAGCAGCGTGGTTTGGATTTATTTATAAGAAGATTTTATATGACACCTTTAACTGTGAAAATCCTCCCAATCCGCTGCAAAATGTCAAGACAGCAAAACAATAACAAGGGCTAAAACACAGAAATTGAACACACCATCCCAGAAAAATACTAAAACCAATAAAAAAACACATAAAAACATCCAGTTAAACAAAACTTCTCCCATAGAAAAACCATGGAGAATAAGTGGGTCTTTAAGGTCTCCTGAAAGAATAGACGGCCTCTTGAAGGCCAATGGGAAACACATTGCACAGTAATTGATATGGGTGAAGACAAACCTTCACATAATGAGGTCCCAAAAGTCACCACCTGGCCCCACCAGCCCTTAGATGGTGCCATTGTGCAGCAGATTAATAGAAAGCACAGGATCTAAGCTTGGGCACATAAAGAGTGGCCTTGAAGCAGTACGGGCCGCGCCATTCCTCGGGTCAACCACCTCCAAGGTCTGTAAGTCCCGCCCAGGCTGATATCCAGATACAGGATCCAAGCAGGAAGTGCTCAGTCTCAATTCATTAAGTGGGTTGTCTGTCCTCGGACCGCGCCAGCAGGAAAAAATCCAGGGAGCACTTGGCTAGACGGTGCACTGACTCCAGCCCCTGCACTGCTACGGTGGCATCCAGACTGGTGTGGATGTGAGTGATGTTACTGCCGAAAAGCCCCGCAAAGGCCTTGGAGGGTGGAAGCCGTGGCACTCCAGAGCCTCACCCCAAGCAGGCTGCCTGGAAAAGGTCCACAGAGAAATACTAAACAGGCCCCAAATCTGGCAGAATTCCTTCATCACCACTGCCTCCACTGAGCAAGACTGCACATTCTTGCCTGTGTCGCATCCGATTCCTTATGCGTTTCTGCTATTTTAAAAAAAAGCCCAAACTCTGGAGCGAGTGGGCATTCTGAGTCACACAGACCAAAGGGAAACAACCCTTCGCATGTGGAGCTAGGCCTGCGTGCCATTGTTTTAGCACTGTTGTTTTTCAAAGGGAAGAAATGCAAGGGTGGCCTAGAAGTTCTCCTCTGAAACTGTTTGAAGCAGCTCAGGCCATTTCCAAAAGCACACGCTAGCCCCAGAAACTACAATCCCCATCAGGCTTTGCAATAAAGAGCAGCAGAACTCCCACCACCGCCTGGATGGCTGCTGCAAGGCCTCTTAATCATTTTAAAAGCTTGACACACACACACACACACACACAAGTAATGGTTTCATTTCAGCCTCACCTTTCCTCCAAAGAACTCACAGCCTCATTCCCAGGCTGTCACAGCCAGATACATCCAGGCCCGCATTGCCCAATGCCATTGCTTCACCACATGCCTTCAGGCCCAGCTGGAAAGCAACAGCCTGAAACTAGGGGTGTTGCACTTTCTCCAGGATTAAGGGCCCGTTTTTGTTTAAGCAAAGCTCTCAGGGTCCACATTTGGAGACAGGAGCCAAGCACAAACAGGGTGTAGCCAAAACACAAGCAGCAGCCCAGCACGTTGCACCGAAAGCTCTACTGTGTAAACATAATGTAGCGGGGGCAGTTCAGCTCCCAGGATGGCCCAAGGCTGCGGGGGGATGCTGGGAGCTGTGGGTCTGTTTTCTGTTTAAACTTGCACAGGATTGCCACCCCAGTAACAATTTAGAAGAGAGAGTGTGCGTGTGCAAGGAGGAAATCTCAAAACAATGTTGAAAAATGGGAAGATTGAAGGGAGGAAGTTGACTGAAAATTGCCCCCCTCTTCCGTTCTGTCAAGAATATTAGAGCGGTATATAAGTGCTCCCCCCCCCCACTTATGAAGTGAGGGAGTTTGAAAGCACAAGAGACTAATTAAGGGACCCCAAGTTAATGATGTGATGGAGTGTGAATTTGAACTAGGCTCTCTCCACTGCATATCACCTCTTTCCCACTCCACTCACAACACCACACTGGCTCTTTTGTTAGAGGCCGACCTTCCTTTATCAGGTTTCTTGGTCGGAAGCCATGACTGAATCCAACCTGCTTCAGGTGTGTAAAAAGCGTCAGACCATTTCGTCTCTTCTTTCACCTAAACAGGAGTTGCAGTTTTTTTTCAAAATCCCCTCAACCACTCTGGATTTTTCCCCATTTCCCAACATCTGCCTCTGCACGTCGCATAAGGTGCTCACCCAGGAGTGGGCGACATGCCGCTGTCAAGCTGATTGCAAAAGCCCTCTGCAAGCAATTAGCTTAGATCTTAGCGAAAGCAAGCCATCCACCCCGCACTTGGTGGGGAGAAAGGGAAAGTGGGTAAGACAGGCAGGGTGTGGGCGGTGACAGAAAGGCTCCACTTTCAGCTCAACCCACAAGCCAGGACTCAAAAGGGAATGTGGCCCAGCAGGGTTGGAGCGGGGCAGGGAGAATCCTTAGCTTTAGGCTAATCTTTCCTTTTTTGAAATAAAAGATTTGGAATGTGGAACAAACAAAAATGTGCAGCAGATCCCAGATTATGACACGAGGCCTTGCCTGTTTGGTCTCTGAGCTAAGTTTCCCTAGCAGCCAGAAAGATGACCAAAAGTGCAGATGAGGAGGCTGAGGTGGGAGGCAGCTATAAGGCAACTGGAGGTGGGGGGGGGCAGGGGCGGGGAGAGAGAGAGAGAGAGAGAGAGATTGATTTTCCCACCTTTCAAGCCTCTACAACATTCTTTAGTAAGTCAGCAAGTTTTCAGTGCTGAAGCAGATCTACATATGCATTTTTAAAAAATATTAAAGCAGCAATTCTACAGGATCCAGAATAAATTAAGAGCAACAAGCAGCTCAATAATTGTTTGTGTGTGCATAATCCACATAATTATTCCCCTCACCCATGCATATATAAATACTAAGCTGTGTGCATTACTATTCTGAGAGGGAACACCCAGTATTTCTTCGGATGGCATTATTTGATCATGGTACTTGAAGGTCTCTAAGAAAATGACATCAACATTTCATATGGTTCCAAGGATTTTGGAGCCCAAGTCCTGATCCTGGAAAAACATTTAACCCATGCTAGCCTTCCATGCGGTTGCTGCAAGAATGTTCTGGATGGGATGCCTGGAGGAGCACGAACAATCCAGCATCAGGTGGGGAAATGCAGTGCTATTTTGCCACACGTGTGCAGGCTAATTGATCAGGCAGTGGTGTCCAGGATTGGAGCAAAGGGTTGGCCTTGTTGGGCAGCTGTCATGGCCCACGTCCCATGAGAGGGCCCAGTGCTGCTCCCTGTTGTAGCTTGATCTCTGGTCCTTCTCCAAGGATGCAAACGACGTTAGGAACAAGAAGGAACAGAATCCTCTCCTCCCAGACAATGGCAGCCGTGGTGCAAGGAAGCCGACCCGCTCAGGGCGTGCTGCCCCAGGTCTCCCCTGCCCAAACTCTGGGGCAAACACTGGTGCTCACAGGCTCTTCTGTTGCCCTCCAGTCTGCTGCGAAGGAAGGGCTGCTGCTGCTCTCCTAGGACCAGGGATCAGAGTTGCCAGGGCACCCCCAGCGACATCCGAAAACAATGCCTCCTGCAGCACAGCTGGCATCAAAGCCACCAGTTCCAGGCAGCACGCAGCAAAATAGAGCACAGATACTTCCTAACACGCTGCTCCAGAGGTAAGCCACAAATATCGTTGCCAAACTGGCTGGGGAGGAGGGGAAAGATAAAGTGTGAGGGAGGCTAGGGGAAGTATGTCCTGACTTGTAAACCGCCGGGGAGACCGAGACTCATGAATCATGTGTTCAGGACTGCTGTCCCCTTGGTGACCTCCATGCTTGCAATCCTGGACCAGGAGCAAATCCACCCTACCAGTGTTCCCTGCAGAATCACCACACTGGCTGAGCTCAGCCTGGCTATTACGAGTTGCACCTTTATTGCCTAGGCATAAACTCCCTGCTTCAACCCCACCTCTAAGGACTGGAGTCCGTGCTTTCACCCCCTGCTCTGTTATCCTTTCCTCCTCTTCTGTCCTCCACCCCGACAAGCCAGGCTGGAGCGACCAACTATATTGGGTTATTTGGAGTTTGCCAGATCCTCTAGCTTGAGCTGGCCGGTGGCGGACAGGAAGGAGGGAGACAGGACAAAGCCAGCTCTGCAGGCAAAGTGCCCACTTGTGTTTGCATGAGCATCGTGCGGAGGTGAAGGTCTTGGTGCTGCTGCAGCTGCCTTTTCAAACACAAAAAGTCCAGCTATGTTTCTTCCTCCGTACACTTCACCAAAACACTATGAAGTACCCACCCCAAGCCTGGTGCCTTCCAGTTACATAGCGCTACACCTCCCAGGATTATTGATCATTGGCCAGACTGGGTGGGGATGAGGTGAATGGTAGTACAACATAGCTAGAGAGGATTATGCTGGGGAAGGCTGTCACTGGAAGTTCCTTCTTAAAGTAAAAGTCATGAGGGAGCAGTCAGAATGGCTTCCACAAGCACGTTATTCACAGCATGACTGCGCTCATAAAAAACAGCAAGAGTCCATGGACGTTTTGTGACATGGGGAAGCCGCTCCTTTGGGCTGCATTGGTAGCGAAGTCCTGCTGCCTCTCTGGGCATTTTAGTGAAATCCGAATCAGCAGGTTAAAGAGCGCTCACTTTCATTAAACCCTCACCATGGGCCATGTATAGTGGGGTCAGCAATCCACAGCCCACAGATTGAACCACCAGGCCTTTCTACATTCTGGTGCAACCTTCCCCATCCTGGTGGCTCTCCCAACAGGTCAGACTGCAACTCCCAGAATTCCAGCCTGCACGGTCACATGCCAGGAATTCTGGGAGAGGCTGTCCAAAGTATCAGGAGGGCTGCAGCCTGGAGAAGGCTGCTCTAGTCAACAAGGGGCCTTTCCCCATTCTCCAGAGCAGTGCCTCTGTATATCTGGACTACAAATCCCATCAGTTACAGACAGCACAGCTGTCCGTGGCCCAAAACACCTGGAGGCACCAGGCAGGAGAAGCGTGTTCTTCAGAGGTAGCTGGCGGACTGCTGTTAACCAGGAGCATGTGGGCCTTTGGTCTAACCCAGCAAAACCATTTTTAATTTTCTCTTTGAAACTGCAGGGCAGTGGCAACAGTGGACCAGTCTGGGACTTCCAGCAAACTGGTACAACCATCATGATTAGGACCGCTCCAGACTGGCCCATTTGCCGATCTAGCTGCCAACACCTGATTCTTCTGGCCTTCACTGCTCCTTTACTGGCCTTTCTGGGGGAGAGCTTGCTGCCAGGAAAGGAAGTTTACCAGACTGATCTCTGGGGCTGACATCTGGTAAAAGAGCAACAAACAACACATGGGTAGTGGACATCATTTCATCTACAGACACGTATCTATTACAATATTAGATGGTTTTAATTGCTTGTTAAGCCCCACATGGTGGGGAGGAGGAAAGAAAGGTAACTGCCCTATAAAAATTAATGCACCTCCCACAAGGGAAACCTAATTGCATTCATTCAGTGTATTCCAAGAACAAGCCAGACTGGGGATCACAGGCATGCTCTGGGGGGTTGGGTTGACCCCATCCCCTTCTATTACGCCCCCAACTGGCTAGAAATGAGCCACAGCCAGCTGCACAGAAGGGAGACAGTCAGGCAGAGAATGAAAATGGTCCTTCCCTTCCCTTATACATCCTTGGTCACCCCTGCAGGAGGGATGGCAGGAGACAGCTCCAAACATAACGGCAGGGGTGGCTCCTGCTTCCCCATAAACCGAGAGGGAAGGCAAATCAACTGGCACCAGTTACATGAACGGTTCGAGGAGGAGGCATGTGGTGGCGTTTTGCAAGCTACCTCGTGGGTTCATGGCTTCAGAGAGCTTTGTCCTTCCACTACTCACATGAGAGAGGTGGACTCCAATACCAGCCAGCCCCAGTGTGCACGGCCAGGGCTGATGCGGCTCCAGTTCAACAACATCTGGAGGATCAAAAGTTCCTTATCCAATGCATACATGCACATCAACTTTCCCCAGCCTGGGGTCTTCTAGATACTTTAGACTACAACTCCCAGCAGCCCTACCTAATATGGCCAATGGTCAGGAATACTGGCCATTGTCATACAAAACATCTAGAGGGCACCACCACACTGGAGAAAACACCCACACAGATCCCTTGTGGGCAAACAGTGGAATGGCATGCCACCACCAGAGGCTTCGTGCGGCTCTAACTTCATGCGGGATCCAAGACTGGGCATCTGGAGAAAGGGGTCACAGAGATCCCATTCAACATGAAAGGGGTGCACGGTGCAATCTGGACGGTGGGGAGAACACTCTAGAACTCAAGAGGTAGCTTCCGGACTTGGTCACGTTTTGATTTCAGTAGGTCTGCTGTAAGTATGACTAAGTCAAGTTCCAATTCAAGAACAGGGGGTAAGAATGGAGGGATGATCCAACTGGGCAATGTTGCTTGGTCCCCAGGACTAAAAGCTAAGGAAATTTTAGTGCTGCTCAGACGTGCCCCCTTCAGAACCGTTATTTCCCCCACGGACTTCTCTGGCCCACAGCACCATCACCTCTCCTCAGCCCTGAGATGACCAGGATTGGTTCCGATAGCTCCAGCTGGAAAACATGGCATCCTCCACAAGCCCACATTGGCCGGGAAGGACGGGAGTGGCAGTCCAACACATCTAGAGGCCGCCAGGCTGGGAGAAGTCTATTCAGACTTCATACACACCTCAATTAGCAGCAGAGGGCGGTAAGAGGAAAAGGTGGCCAGGACCTGTGGCCCACCCCCAGGCTCTTGAAGGAAGGTAGATGGTGCATACAGTGGCCTGAAGAGGCAGAGGGTGATGTCAAGCAGCAAAGCCCTCTCAGCCACCAAAGGGCAAACAGGTCAGAAAACATGGCTTCCAGTCCCCTCTTACGAAGACGTGGTAGGAGGGAATGCGAGTTAGGCCAGAACCACGACGTGACCGTGCGAGGGAGGTGGCCAGGTCCTGGATCAGAACGTTGTAACCTTCGCCTGGCTGATCCCAGTGAAGAGGTTGGCAAGGCGGGGATGGACTTGCCCCTGGACAGGGCCATATTCCACCCTCTCCCCATCAATGGTGATGATGCCCTTGCGAGTGAGGGGCTCAATCCGGAAGGCCCGGACAGGGATGTGGGTCAGGTGGGGGCACTCCTGCTCGAAGTGAGTGCCTTTCTCCATGGCCAGGAAGAGGCGGATCAGGGCTGCTCGGGAGATGCCCGCCTTGACGTAGGAGAGGTGGATAAGGCCGTCGTTGAAGCAAGCGAAGGGGGCTACGTGCAAGTCAGCACCCAGGTGAGTCTGGTAGACGGCCAGCACCAACACAAAATCGTCCTCCAGAGTCACCCACGACTTGGGCACCGGCTGGTCCAGCGGGGCCAGGAAACGATCCGCAGGGCCGTGCATTTGCCTGGCAGAAGGCGAGACGGCAGGCGCGGCCACCGCCGGATTCGCCTCCCGGGGCCCCTTGCTGTCAGCCAACGGCTCCTCCGACAGGTTCTCAAAGCTGAAGCTGGAAGAGTGGAAGCAAGAGGAGGAGGGTGGGGAGCTGGGCGAGGGGGCCGGCTCCTCAGCGAGCTCCGCATCTCGGAAGCGGAAAGTGTGGCGTTCTTCGCAGAGCCCCATGTCAGAGACCGTGCGGTGAAGAGGCAAGTGCTGGAAGGGGAGGCTCCCGTTGGCAGCCATGGTAATGCTGCGGAAGATGGGCCGGTGGGCTGCGCAGTCCAGGGCAGGGAGGTAGGAGAGCCGCCCCCGGTAAGTGTTCAGGGAGGCCAGGCGGACCAGCGTGCCCAAGGTGAACCGGGCTGAGCCCATGTGGCGGTACTTCTCGCTCTCGATGTCCACGTCGGAGATGAAGCCCCAGGCCACGCTCAAGAAGGAGAAGGAGCGGGAGCCCGACAAAGTGGTGACGGCCACCAGGTCCAAGGGGGTCACCGCCCCGTGGCAGAGCAGAAGGGTGCAGTTGGTCAGCAGCTCCTGGCCCAAGACCTGCTCAAACCTGCCCAATCGGTTAAGAAAGAGGTCAGAAGGACAGGCGGAGGCAGAGCCGCTCTTTCAAAGGGCAACAGGGGCCCTGGGTGCAGAAACTACCAATAGCGAGGGGATTAAACACCGGGAAGGCACAACTCCGGATTCAGAGGCCACCGGCCGTCAAGCGCTGCCACCCTGTAACGCTCCATGGAGTAAGAGGGTGGAAGATGCAAGGCGTAGGAACCACGTGGCCCTGCCGGGTGGCGTCAGGACCGGAATGGGAAGACCTGGGGCCAGCTCCTCCCTCGGCCGTGCAATTCCCTGGCTAACCGGAGGCCATTCACCCTCCTCAGCCCAGCCTGCCTCCAAGGGCTTTTGAGAGGACAACAAGGGCGGGATGAGAACACTCCACAGCCCGAAGCGCCTTGGAGGAGGAGCAGAATTAGAATGCGATGACGACAATGATCACCCTCGTGAAACCACGCTCCCTGGCTCCACAACGTGGCATGACACACCGTGGCGGAGAGGGGAGAGGGGGCAGCCGTGCAGCCTGTTCTGAGGCCACACACGGAGGCCGCCATGCCCCAGGGGGTGAATGAGCGGCACTCCGCACATGCCAGCTGGCGCTCTGGCATGCCACGGCTTCGCATGTCCAAGGACTGAGCTTCAGTAGAAATAGCAGTGTCTGCCTTGCGCCTTGCTGAGAACATGTTATTACTTGACGCTCTGATTCTCCCACTGGAGGCAAATCCTTCCTCACCCCAGAAAAAGAGGCCGCGGGCTTCCTGATCTATAAATGCCCACTTACCCGGCACTGAAATTAACAGCTGCCGCTACTGCATTTCCAGACCCGCAGGGGAGGATGCCAAGAGGCATTTTTATTGCTTCTTCCCAGTCTGGTCGTTCCATCAAACCATTAATAACCTGGAAGGAGGGAAGACAGTAAGCAGCACTCCTATGCTGTCGCCCCCCGTTTGGATAGCAGCTGGTACCACCCAAAGAAATGGATGGGAAACCTCACAGAATGGCTGTGCTCTTAGGATTCCTCATTAAAGAAATGGGTAAAATTCAATGTCCCCTCAAAATGGCAGGACTCCTACCGCTGCGGTCCCAGAGCAACTTTTGGAAGGGCACTGGGAGCGCTCAGGGGTTCTCCCATTCCGTGCAACAGGCACAGGCAAGAAGAGCGCGTGTCCCAGGATACTTCCTCAAATCCTGCAAAACAGGTGAGGGGACTGGCACCTGCTCCTCCTAAATACTCATGCATAAAGTAGCACGGGGGGGGGGGGGCGGAGGGAGATGAACAACAGATAGTAGATACTCATGGAGAGTGTATGGGGAGGTTCCGGAGGGCCAGAAAGAGCTTCCTGTTCAGAGCAATACCTCGTAAAGCAGGCCATCGCCGGAAATCGCCACAATGCCATCCCACTCGGCTAAGTTGATGCTCTGGACCAGTTCCCGGGCATGGTTCTGTCTCTCTGGGGTAGAAACAGAAATAGAATGAAACACACACAGTGCAATAGTGTGGTTGCTGTTTAGTCGCTAGGTTGTGCCCGACCCATCGCGACCCCATGGGCAACATTCCTCCCGGCTCTCCTGTCCTCCTCCCTCCCTCAGGGTCCACCCAAGCCCACACCGACTGTTAAACAGTGCGGCAGAACTCGAATCCAAGGCCACCCTCCCACTTTCCCCCCACTTTCCCCTGAGCAGTTGGAGAGCTGCCTAAGCGGCACATTCGCATGCTGCGGCTGACACTGCTCCACCACTCGTATCCCCAGGCTGCACCTTGCAAGGGAGAAGAGTGGGGCTGAGCTGAAGGCTGCCGAGTTAGTGGGTGGGTGGCAATGCTTGAGCCCAGGGCTTTGTGACCCAGAAGATCTACACTGGGGTGGTCAGACTGCCTCAGCAGAAGAGCCCCATGCAGTAAATGTCAGATGTCTAAGAGCCCAAGTGGGCACCCAGGGGCAAGAGCAGTGAGCCGCAAGCAGGCGCTCGTGAGCCGCAAGCCACAGAATATACTCAAAGAGCCGCATGTGGTTCACGAGCCTCAGCTTGGCCACCCTTGGTCTGTACTATGCCAGCTCTTGTGGGGGGAACACCTATACCAGCGATGAGGAACATGCCCTTTGAATGCTCTTGGATGGCAAGTCCCATTATCCCCACCATTACGCATGCTGCCGAGGCTTGATGGGAGCTGCAGCAACATTGTTGGGAGGGCTGCCCCTCCCCGCTGCCCTGTTCCCAAACATTGCTGTGTCCCCATGTTCCATTTGAGTCCCACTTAGAAACCTGGTCAGAACAGGCCAACAATCCGTCTGGTCCAGCCCCAACTGGCCAGCTAGACGATTCCAGGAAGACTTGGAGGTGGAGGTGCTCAGGCGACACACAGGCAGTCCTAGCAACCTGATACCGAGCACTGAAGTTCTGCTTAGCTAGGACATTTCACGGCCTTGGATAGACCCACCCTTCCACAAAGCTGTGTCCCTCAAGCCTTCCCCAAACCTTTTGCCCATTCAGTGTGTTGGACTCTGACTCCCACTAATCCCAGCCAGAATGGCTAGAGGAAGGCCATGGTGGGAGCTGCAGGCCAGCATGCTGAGAGCTCAAGAGGCATGGGGAGGGCGAGTCTAAATCCTCCCCAGAAGCCATCTGCTGTGCCACACCTCTCCCGTCTAAGGCCACTGCCCCTCCTTCCATCCCCGCCGCACCTGTCTGGATCAAGTTGAAGCTGATGTCGGCCTCTGTGATCATGGGGAGGACGTGACTCTGGCACCACTGCAGAGCATTTCCCTTGCCTCCGAAAGGGTTCAGCAGGAGGAGCAGGCGGCGGGGGCGCGGCAGGAGGCTGCGGCTGATCTCTGGGGAAAGGAAGAGGCGCATCTGACATGGAGGCGCACACGCCTGTCTCTAGCTGGAATTTCCATCCATGGCAAATCATGCTGCCTGTGCAGTACGAGCAGCTCCTTTTATATTCCACCCTCTCAGGTGGCACCAAGGCCTGGCTCCACACACAACCCGTTTTGCAGATACACATGGAGCACTTCTCATCACCTCATGACACTGTAAAACATGCTCATGGCAAGAGGCTCATGTTCAGCCAGGCGCACTGTGCTGGTTTGTGCATAAGGGTGCCAATCACAGGCACGGCAATAAACCAGAACTCCAGGGAGTCCAAGTTCATTGTCTGTGCCCTGCTTGGATCTTCCCACCACGGGGAGCAGCTAAACTCAATGGAACCAGACATTTCCCATGTTGTCAGAAACAGGGTTCTTGGACCGTTGCACTAAAACCAAGTCCGAAATTGTAAATCAAGAAGAAATCCCAGTTTTCAGCACTGGCTTGTAAGGGGTACAGTGAGTTTAGACAACAGCCTGGCCTGTGATCTGTCCTTTTCTAACAGGGATTCCTTATTCAGAGATGCTGCTGACTCTGGGAAGAAGGCTGTTAGTGATGCCAGAAACAGACATAACTCTTCTTGAAAGAGTTAAAGAAGACACGATGGGCCACCCTTAGCTATGGTAAATACGCATCCCCTTTGCTGTGATCTCAGCTTTGCTCAAACAGGTGTTTATGATGCTTCAAAACCCCACAAAAGTGGTTTACTAGAGGCAATATAATGGCTGAGACACAGAACAAAAAAAAGGAATGCACAGCTTGAGTCATGCTGGCTGCCCTACCACCTTCTGCTTTCTAGACTTGAAAGAGGAAATAAAGTGTCACGCACCCCCTCCATCCTTAAGCAGGCACATTCTGCTAAGCTTCATGGCTACCAGAGCACCTTCTGCAACCTGGGGCATTGCAGATAGTTTAGATTATAACATTCAGAATTCCTGTCCATCAATTGGCCGTGCTGGATAGGAGCTGACGGGAGTTGAAGTCCAAAATCCCTGGGTGGCACCAGGTTGGAAAAAGGTGCTCAAGAGACACACAGAGGACAAAAATACATCCTTTGAGCAGCTTTGCAAAAAGAGTTATCCTGAAATAGTGACAGCTTCTGGGAAGTGATCGTGTCTTAGAAATGGGAATTCTTGCCTCTTGCGCTTCCTGCTTTCATGCCCAAGATAAAAGCAGGAAGGAAGGGTTGCTAATATCAAGGAAGGAGGCTGCTGCCTGGGGCTGTTGATAACTGATCAGTCCTGTCACAGTCAACGCTAGATCAACAAAATCTCATCTGGTAATGCCCAGGAAGCTTGATTGGCTTTGTCCAAGCCTCACGGAACACAGCAGCTCTCTGGATGGTATCTAGAATGCTGTGGACCTCAATGGCAGTCTGTAGGCGTGTTGACTCATTGTGGCCACTGCTGCCTGATCATGGCGGGATGGGCCTCAGGGCTTGGGTGTTCCTTTGGTTATGTTGCTCCAAGTTCTTCATTTGCCTCACATGCTGCTATGAGAATGCCACCCCAGCTGTCAAGCACGCTGCCCCAGCTGCCGTAAAACTGAGAGAAGCCAAGATGCAACTGCTACTTATGAGTTAACACATCACACTGATGCAAAAATAGTTTATGGACTTTCTAGTACCTTGACCATCAACTCAGGCACAGGCAGGGTCTACAGAGCAGTGAAATTCAAGATGAGCTTGGCTTGCGTTCAGAATGTTTGGACAACTGGAACCCACCCTGAGGGCATTCTTGACACAAAAAGGCAGGAAATAGGCAAAAGATGGCACACGCTGGTCACCAGTCTAAGGGATCAGTGGCACAGACTCACCTATTTCGGAAGTCACTGTAAGTTACGTGATTATATCTGATAATCTCTTGCCAATATTTAGTTATACTCTGTTCCCAATGAACTGGCACACTCTAGCCTGATTCAGCACTTGGGCCCCATCAAGGTAGAAAACTACCTTCAAGACTTTGGACTGCAAGCTAGAGCAGAGCCTCATGCAACTGCTATTGTATGGGAAGGGTTGGTGAGCCCATCTCCTGCAGCCCACCCAATTGGTACAGTCCAGACACATTCAGATTGCCCGAGATCCTCTGAACAAATTTTATAGAATGGGATGAGAGAGAGATTTCGGGCTGCAGGGGTGTGTGCGTGCACACACGCACGGGTGTCATGGTTTACATCAAATGTAGATTTAAGGCTTTACCACTACAGGGGTAAAGTATTAAATGTTTTTTATGCTTCCCCATATATAAAATAACTGTCCATGCAGTAAGTGAAGCATGTGAGGGAGAGGACAACACCACAGTTTCCTCCCATGAGCTCATTTTCTGCATATCAGGAATTTCCTCCATGGGGCAAAATGTGTATTCCTTGAAGAAGGGGATTTACGTTCGGTCTGCCAGTTATAAAGCACTCAAGGCAGCCAAGGAAAACATCAGATTGTCAAACAAGACAATACAGTACAAATGTTCTATTAAAACCATTTCCAACAGAAATAACAGAGGCAGCAGGAAGCAATTCAATAAGACAGAAATTAAGCAGCTAGAGATGAAATTCCTGCAGAAACAGATTGGGGTGTAAGGCAGACCAATCCAAGGGGCTGAGGTTCAACAGCCTTGTAATATCCAGCCCTCTGGATTGAACCCAGCAGCCCTTCTGATAGCGGGAAATGCAAGCCGCCCCTGGGACAGGGGTAAGTGGGACAGCTCAAACAAAGGGATCCTAACACAGCAAGGGCTGAGTAAAGATGTGCTAGAGCAGCTGGGGACATGGGTGTGGGAAGCCGCTTCCACCTCCTGCAGCCTCCCCAGCAACACAGAGCAGAGGGGAGAGTTGGTAACTCTTCACAAAGCAGAGTGCACCGAGGAGGGGAGCTGAACCACTCCCTCATTCCCTGCCTTACCATGCTGTGCAATGCCACTACAACTCCCATCTCCCCAGGGCACCAGGTTGGGTAAGGATGCTTTCCGCCAATGTGAGCCAAACAGGGAGAAAGGCACAAAGCAAGATGGAGCACAGTGATGTACTGAGGGTGCGGTTTGCTTCCCTCCCTTGAACACGTCTTTCCATGCATGCAATTGGCTCCGATCTCTGGCTAATGCAACCTGCCACCGCCCTGGCAGTCCTCTGTGAGGGAAGGGAGAGAGAAAAAGGGGTGACCCACCTACTTGCACACCAGTGAAGTCTGCCCAGGTGAGGAAAAGTGGCCCTCAGCCGAGAAAACCTTGTCTACTCCAAAATAAAGACCATCACATGCTTGTAAGAGTACGGCACACTGTGAGCATGTAAACACACTGCTCAGCTTTGTGGATGGGATAGGTGTGTGCATGAAAATACTCAAGAATGTCCCATTCAGTCTTGCCTTGCCTTTAGCACAGTCCAATGCCTAGTTTATTAGCACAGTCCTCTATCATTGGCTCTATAGTTTCACCTCAGTAGTTTGGATGTTAATAAGCATCATGTTCTGTCGACTGAAACCAAAGTGCTTGATCTGCAGTGTGGGACAGTTGAGAGGGAACATAACAAGCCTATCATTCCACGTACAGGGTAGAGTCACGCTTAACCCATGCGGAGTCCTTGTTGGCTACCTAAACATATATGCCTTTGTCCTCAGGACTGCCATTTTTTCCTATGGGTTTTTGGGCTGGAATCTGCTGGACAGAGGCTGTTATCAGCTACAACACCTGACTGAGGCAGTCTGTCTCTCCGCACTCTCCTGCGGGCATCTAAAAGCCACTTGGGACATCTAGGTGCAAACCAAAGTGTGAGAATTAACGACTGTTGGCCTTTGGCCCTTAGTCTGTGGCCTGGAAACTATGGCATCACTGTGGAAAGCAAATGAAGCACTGAGCAAATGAAATAAAACTAGTGGAGGTACATTTTCAATTTTTGCCTGATGTCCTTTCTGCCTGATGGTGAAAGGCACATATACCAGCAGAGGTGGACTCTTTTTAGCTGCTTTCTGCTTAACAAACCACAGAAATTAGCTACAGCTTGAGGGAAAGAGGAGCAACAGTGAACTTCACCTGTTCCTTGTCAGCTGCCGCACCGAGGGTTGGGGCTCTTTATTTTATATTAACATTTTAACTTGTGCTTGGGAAATCTGAACAAACTGGGGAGAAGAGAGTGCCTCTATTGGTATAATCATGGGTTGGGGGATTAATTCCGCAGAAAGGACTGCAGAATTAACAGGCCAGTTGAGAAGAGAAGTAGACATCTTATGCTATTCCTTATTCTGGGTCTTTCCCAAGCCACACAGTTCTTGGCTGCCTTATCAGCTTGCCCATGGGTCCAGTAGTGCTGGTACTGAATGCTGGGCCAGTCCAAAACAGCACCTCCCTCATCCATGACATAGCTGTGAATGCGAGGGCTGACCTGACCTGCTTTCCTAAGACCCAGGAGGTTAGTCTCTCTCAACTTTGCTATCCTGGCTATTCAGTGTAGCACTAACATCATGAAAGGGGTTTGCTGAGAGTTACAGGAATTCTGCCCTGCTCTCTAGGCTTACTGTTCCTTTGAGTGGAATGTACACTTTGTGCTGGGTATCTGAGGCACATTAGGGATTCTGCTGGTGTTCTGCCAATACTGCTGCCTTTCAAGCTCCCTGGTTTCCTGCTGGATGATCTTTGCCAACGGAGGACAGTGTATGCAACACTGCTGATTATCTCAGACCTGAGTGGCTATTGATACCACCAATAGGTAGGTAGTCTAGGCTGGGAGTTGGTGGCACTGTAGTGACACAGAACGCCTTTTTTCAGCTTAAGATAATAAGCCAACTATGTTTTTATCTGGACAGGGACAGCCTAAGCACAGTTATTCATCCTCTGGTAACCTCTCAGCTGGATTCCTGCAATGCACCCTATGTGGGGCTGCCTTTGAAAATGGTCCAGAAATGTCAGCTGGTTCAAAAAGGGCGGTGAGATTGCTAATGGGAACTGGCCAGCACTGTCACATTAAGCCAGCATTTACC